GTGATCATTTCCGGGATGAAAGAGGCACCATGAGGAAAGACATTGCCAGAGTGAAAACATTTAACTTATTGGTGAGGAAGTTTTTCTGAGAAGCGAGTGTTTCTGATTTTTGTTTTTTTATTCATTAGGAAGAATTGTAACTGATCCACTTGGTGGGATCTAGGAAAAGGTTTTCACCTTTCAGCCGCCAAGAACAATAAATAAATTATCACAGGATGCTTATAAATAATTTAGAACAAATGGAAATCCCAGCCCCTTAATTCATATTCACATCTTTAACCATATCCATGTCTAGTTTCACCCAGCTGATGGGTTCTGGATCTCTAGAGCTCTACCCTGGCACCAGGGAGCAAGAATTAATGGGTGGAACACACCTGTCCCCTGTCACATCTGCTTCTGTCACATCTGCTTCTGGGCAGGTGTGTGTGTGTGTGTGTGTGTGTGTGTGTGTGTGTGTGTGTGAGAGAGAGAGAGAGAGAGAGAGAGAGATCAGACACAGGATGGGACTAGATGGTGTGAACTTTCTTGAAAATGCATTTCACTAACTGTTTCCATATGTGGAATAGGTTTAGGTGAAGTTCTTTCTTTTCTACACTGATGAATCTTCTTGCTGGATGAAAACAAGAGAACTTTAAGAGGGTTTGAAGACTTAAGTTGGAAAATTCACATAAGCCAATTTGCTTGTCATGGGGGGAATTGTCTAGGTGGTGACTAACTTTGTTGTTCGTTCCATCGCCATTCCCTTGAGTCTCTGGGGAACCAGTTTTTCAGGCAGCAAAGACCAACTGCTGTCTGGTGTTACCAACCTCCCATCAACCATAGTCCTGTTTTTCTGTAATACTTGAGGTCTAGACTTTCTGGGGAGCCAGGGGCAACTGAGAACATTCCCTGGGGCTCCGTGTAGATGGAAGCGATCCGGAGCACCCTGTCTTCAGTCTCTGGGTTCCCCACACTTTCCAATGTAGTTTAGCCCTAACAACCTCAGCTGGACTTGTGGCAAAATAAACAAGTCAGTTCTAATTATTTAAAGTTGGCTATCAGTTTAAGAGCCAAGACACAGGAATGAAAACTGACTTTTTGGAACAAGGAGAAATGTCAGTGATTTTAGGCTTTGCCAGATAAAATCTCAAATTTCTTTGGCTCAGAGTCATCCATAAAACCGTGCCATGCTGCAGATGAGCTTCTTCACTGGTGTCTGTGCACTTTCTTCCACCTGCCAAGTGACAAAGCACCTTTTAGCCTGGGATCTTCATCTGCCACCCACACATGCTACCAATCACATTCCTAGTATGTGTTTACCGTTGTCCTAATTGAATTTTGGAGCCAGGGCTCATGGGCCCTTGCTAACTTACAGTTAGAGATGAGAAAGAAGGGGAAACAGGAACTAGAAGAGGGTCAGAGAGGAAGCAGATGAGCAGCCTCAGGGGGAGAGGTGGCCCACACTTCCCTCTGGCACCATGTACCTATTTGGAACAGATGTTGTACCTGTTTGGAGCAGATCTTCCATTCCAGATCCTACTCCAAAGAAGCCAAGCAGGGGCTGATGGACAGACCATATCAAGGTCAGAGTTCCCCTAAAATTAGAAAAGGGAATCTGTTCAGTGGCTGAACAGTCCTGGCTCTCTCTGAGGGCAAAGGGATATCAACCCAACATGATTCAAAGAAAACTAAACACAGTTCAAGAGCTGAGCTCTCCTTGCCCCCAACCCAAGTCAGAGAGACCCAGGGAAGAGAGAGGGGAGTGGAGTGTGAACCCCTCCAGCTTGGGAGATTTAAGGCAATGGCTGAGCAATCTTAGCCTCTCAGGAGAATGTATTTCCCACAGTTTGGAGGTGGAGAAGTGCAAGATCAAGGTGCTGGCAGGTTTGGTATCTGGAGAGGGCTTGATCTTACGCTTATAAATGGCATCTTGTGGCAGGAGCAGAAGCAGTCACATTGCCCTTGAGGTTGACCTCATGATCTCCTAAAGGCCCCAGCACTTAACACTATCAAACTGGTGATTCAGTTTCGACACGAAGTTTGGGAGGACACGCTGAGACCACAGCAGGATGCTTGTGTTTTCACAGACAGTGGCTTTCCAGTTTGACTAGTGACTGTAAATCACTTGCAGATCATCCCTCCAGATGGTCACTTCATTGATTTGCTTCAAGGAGTCATCGGTGACGTCTGTTCACTTTCTGGATCTCTTTTCTGGTCTGATAGAGAAGAATGGCAGACCCGAGATGGCTCATTCTTCCTGGGCCCTGGATGGAGCTTTCAGGCTGAGGGAGGAGCCAGAGTGCCTCAGCTTCTCCCAGGGCGTCCGCACACGTGGGTGCCCAGCTTGCTATCTCAGTAGAAGAATCCACCTCAGCCACAGAAGCTTTTGTGAGCAGCTGCTTGTAGAGTCTGTGGCAAGACAGGCACCTCATTGTTGTGCTTTCTGGAAGGCTCTGAATATCAAGCCCTTAATGTGATCCTGCTGTCTCCCCCAGGGAGCTCGCATCTGGGCCTTGGGTGATTCTCTCTCCAACCCTCTGAACAGCCCAGAGCCTGCATGTTTCCATCATGATGTATTCCAGCGGAAACACATTTTTTTTTTTTTCCCAGAGGGATTAAAAGGCAGCAGTCAGAAGCATCTGCCTGGATTTCTACAGAGTTGCCTTTTGCCAGGGGAGTCAAGCAGACTTAGTGAAGGCTGCAAGTCTTCCTCATGTCTGGGGTGGTCCAACACTGCCTTTTCCCCTCTGGGACCTCGAGTTGGATACTGCACATCAAAGACCAGTAGGGATCCCTTCTGCCCACCGCACCTGGAGGAACTGCTCAGACCCACGCAAGTTTGAGAACAAAGAGAATCTTAACAATTCAGGGAAGTAAACATAGAGGACATTTTCTAACTCCATCAAGGGAGTGTTTTCAATCTGTGCTCCTGTTTTTAATGAGACACATGCATATTCCAAGCAGCTAATTTCCAAGGATGTTTGTTGACAGTGGATACTTTGCAGGTTTGGGAGTTGTTTAATCTGAGCTCAGGAAAATATATTTCATCTAACAAGACCAGCATTTTTAGGTGGATTAGGAAATGCACCAACGTGTAGGGAAGGCAGAGAGAATTTAAGTCCTTTGTAATGAAGAAACAGCTGCCAAGAACAATAAATAAATAAATAATTTAGGACAAATGTAGAATTCTGATAGATTTTGACTAACACGGTAGTCAAGGTTTTGTTTTGTTTTTATTTACTCTTACTCCTAATATTTTGAGTGAAGAATAACATGCCTTTGGGCTAATTCTCCGTTTCCTGAATTTCTCTACCTGCTTCAAGTCGTGAGACCTGGGGTTTGATGCTCACGGCGCTCTGCGTGGCTGCCTGTGACACTGGACATTGGCAGCTCGTTGCTGTGGATGAGATTCTTGCTGACAAGCTGTGCTTCCTGGTCCAATCACAAGTCCCTCTATATTGCTTTCTGGACTTTTTCTACCTTTTCAGTTGCTCGGTACTCCTCCCTACCCAGTCTTTGTCCAAAGGTGCTCACCTGGTATCCCACCACACCATCAGCATCCACAGCACCATGCTCTGGGTCTCTGTGAGACTCCATCCCTCCTGGGCCTTGTAATGAGAGCAGCTGGTTCTAATCCCATTTCAAGAAGAGACTTGAATGCAGATCAAAGTTGGCCAACTAAGTCACCTCTTAGTGAGTGTTGCTAACATGACTAGTTTCATCAAAAAAATCTACTTTACTAGGTAAGATTTTCAAATATTAGTCACACATCTCTAGCTACCATTTTTCTGTCCTTTCTACTCAAATTATAGTTTCAAGTTACTTGGTATTTTACAAAAATGTACCCCTATACTTGGAGTTCTGTGCTTTGCTTAATTTTTTTTTCTTTTGAACATTCCTGGACACTCATTTTCTTAAGGATTTTAATTACTTTTGGAGTACAAACTCAAGGGAGAAAAAGCAGAAACGCTATTGCAGACTGGGTTTTGCAAAATCCTGTTCCTGACATTGCCATATATGGATAAGTCCTCGCTGTTCCCATATCTTCTTGCCCTTATCAGGGCAGGTGCTAATCCTGATATCTGTCCCTCCCTCAAGGAACCTGAATTACCAATAAGATCTGAGCATTTTCTCTGCCTTCTAAAGGTCTCAGTGACCTCTTTCTTCCCAGGACTCTTCCTTTTCTGTTTCCCTCCCTCCCTTCCTCCATTCCTGCCTCCTCCCCTCCGCCCCCCAGTTTTATTTAATGCTGAACTTCTAGCATGGATTTGAATTTTGTGATATAATTTGAAAATATTTTTTTGTTTTAATAAATAAGTTAAACCCCTTTACCAGTGATCTGTTTGTTAAATTTTAAGGTAGAATAGTAACAAGTCTAGTATACATTATTCAAAGGCTTTTGAAAGATTATTTTGTATACATGATGGTAAATTTAATCTAAAACAGACAGAAGAAGATACCTTAGACTTTGAGTTTTTTTTATTGGGAAATACTATTTTGATTTTCTCCTGATATTTATATCATGAAAACGGTACAGATGAGATATTTTGATGTGACTTGAAAATTGACTTGAAATGAAAAAAAAAAACTGAATTATTGCTTAAATTGAGGGTAATTGTTAGTGAAGTTAAAAGGTAGAATTTACATCTTGGATAACTGAAAAGTAAAACAAATAGAAAAGTTTCTAAGAAGACTCATTAAACAGCTCTAGGGTAGTATATGCTTCTATTGTAAATGCTTCTATTATAAATAAGCGATTATTTATTAATACAACCACTTAGGGTCATTCTGTAATTGACTGAGCCCTGTTCAAAGACCTAATGACACAAAGATGCTATTTATCATTACCTTTCACTTCAGAAATTCATTGTCTAATTTGGACCATGAGGGATTTATTTTCATATACATAATTAATTTTCCCCCAGAACTAGCTTTTCTCCTTTCAGTTAGTCTGGGGTCTTTTTGATTTCCCCCTTTCTTTGGATGACATAACTAAACTAAATTGTGCTTTTCTCATGCAGGGCAGCCACTGATCACAATGTGGACAATACCACCGAAATGTTCAGGGAGTGGTTGAAGAACGTACAGAGACTCTATCACTACGTGGAGTGGAGGCCGATGGATGAACCTCAGTGAGTAATGAAAGCAAACCTCACAAACTCATCGCCCTTCCTCCTGGGCAAGTTCTCCAGCCATTGGTGTTTCCAATCTTAAGGACACATGTGATTTTTCATTGTCTTTCATCTCTGTGTCCTAATTACAAACACCTGCCATTTCTTCCTTGGACAGATCTTCATAACTCCCTCTTCCTTTTTATCCCCACAGCTGCCAGCCAAGTTCAGGTTTTCGTTAGTTCATAAATAAATTACTGCATTGGCATGTATTTTTAAATATTGCTGTTATTTATTGATATTTTGAGTATATACTTCTTATACTCGAGCACACCTTAGTTTTTTCACTTAGCATGTCTTGGCAATTATTACACTATAATAATTAAGGAGCTTCTTCATTTTTTAGTTGCATAGTATCCATTGTATGGAGATACCATAATTGTTAAGCTAATACCCTACTGATTGACATTTAGATTATTTTTTTTAAATTTCCAATCTTAACCATAGCAATTGATTAATTGCTTCTGTCTCCAAGTCATTCAGACTGTCAGACCAAGTTCCTAAAACACAAGAGAGCTGTCTCATTCTCTATTTTGGGGATTTCAGTGGATCTCAAGTGCCTATAGAACAAAGTTCAAACAGCTGAGTTTTCTATTTAAAAGTCCATAAAGTTAGTATGTTTTCTGCTTCTTCCCAAAAGAAATTCTACTTTATCCAGAATGTTCCTTTTATTTTCAACTCCCAAACTCTTGCTGACATCGGTCTTAGAAGTGTCTATTCTTCTTTGTAATTGGTTCTTATGCTAAATTACATCTACTACAGAAAGCTATTCCTAATCTTTCCAGTTATTAAGATCTAGCTTTCTTTCAGCAAATGGATTGCTTATTTTGTACATCATTCTTTTTGACGCAATGCAAGTAGCATTGTTAATTAATTATGCAACTTTTATATTTTTTTTCAAAAAAATTATAAGGTCTTTGGCAGGGGCTAGATCCCCTGCTAAACATTTTAAAGCCCCCTATCCCATGCCAATGTTATATTCTTGTCAGGCACTAAATTAATACTTTTTGGATGAATAAGTGAGTCAAAAGACCAATAATAAATGTACTTAAAACCCACTGTTGTAAATGCTCCTAAGACCACTACAATTCCACCTTAAGAAACTGCACAAATAGAACTGAATGAGTTGCCTGAATTTCTACCCAAGATGCTATTTATTGAAAGTCAAATTTGTATAACAACTATAATAAATGTCATTCCAGAACATATTTCTTCTTTGTTCTCCTAGTCACTCCAATATTTAATATAGATCTCCCAAGTGTATGGTTTGTATATTAAACAAAATTTAAAAGTGAAGATTGAACACTATAAAAATTCTTAGACACCCATTTAAGGTTTCTTACAATGGCATTTGGCCTAATTTTTAAAAATTGCACAGAAAGACTTTGTGTGCTCATCTTGCATTCTGGTAATGTTCTCTGTAGCTGGATTTTGACTACACACATTGTATGCCAATATCAGAGTGAATTATATTAGTGAAGGCCTTATTCTTGGTAATGGATTCAGAAAAACAGGAATTCCACTGATTTTCATAGAAGCAGTAATTGGGGAAGACTTTTGGGAGAACTCCGTGCTAGACATAGTTTTATTAAATTTATTTGTATAGTTCCAGACTCTTTGTGACTTTTCAGCATCCATGTCCACAGCAGTTGAGGGCTTTCTGAAGGATTCCAACGGGGTACTGACCCACTTACTTGCCCTGTGGCCAGCGGGAAGTCTTGGCCTGGCTGTTCTGTGCATGCTAGTAGAAATCCCTGGGGCATGACATGTCTGCCCCATGACTCACTTTACCTGGGACAAACTGATGTGCCAGCCTGTATGAAATCATTTGCTGAGATTCCACCAAATAAACTCAACCTTTGGTTTTCCTGGCAAACTCATGTCTGCACTGTAGCACATCCAAATTTATGTGATGGCAGGAGGTTGAAAAAAGTACCCAAGAACATGAACTTGGGGGTTCAGCTGCCTGGGTTTGAATTCTTATTGTGCCCTTATTAACTGTAACAGTGGGCAAGTGACTTACCTATACCGGTACCCTCATCTGTGAAATGGGGAGAAGATCAGGACTTACCTTCTATGGCTCTTATTAGAGCTCCCTGAAATATCTCATACAAAAACTCTAATGTTGTGTAAGCAGTTAGTTTCACTCTCTTTGCTCCTGTTTCTTTGTGATATTGAGATGATAACTATAAAAATATCTCACTTCTAGGGTCGGTGGAGGATTAAACAAGTTAGTAGATATAAAGATGTAGGATAAAACCTGGTTTTCAGCACTCAGTAATTATAAGTTATTATTATAATTCTTTTAGGTCTTATCCTGATGAAATTGGACCAAAGCACTGGCCAAGCTCCCGGTTTGCTCATGTCATGAAATTGCGACAGGCAGCTCTTCGAACTGCGAGGGAAAAATGGTCAGACTACATTCTGGTAAAAGCAGATGCCTGATTTCTTGACAACTGTTATCTAAAATGTTTTCAAATCAGTTGTCCAAAAACTAGGACCATTGGAACAATCAAAACAGTCTTTTTGTAGGGGGCACCGCATCCCCCACTAAAAGTTGAAAGGGAAATTCTGGTAACTGAATCTTGCAATACCTAGATTTCATCGCAGACCCTCTCCTGATATGCACAGCCAGGGAGTGAGTGAGCAAGAAGACTCCTGAACTATTTAGTCTTTCCTGTAACAGGCTTAAGAAACTCTGAATCTTTTAGTTCATGAGGAATGCTATAGGCAAAGCCATAGAAATCATCTTAACTTTGGGGAAGAATTCTCAGAATATGAGAAAAATAATCATATACAAGGAGATTCGAATGAACACCTCCCAAATCATTCCCTTTTGTTCCTGAGTGATTGGGGAATGGAGTCTCTTCTTTGTTCTCCTTCCTGGTTGCTCCCAATTTTGTTGGCCTTTCCTGGGGAACTTCTCTCCGGGAAGAGGTCACCCCCGCTTGCCTTAGGGCTTAGAGAAGTGTCCAGATGCTGGACTTGATGATTAGGAATCACTCTTCAGTGAACCTCTCAAGCTGCAGCCCTTCTCCCTGACAACAGCCTTTTTTCCTCCACAAGTTCTTTAGGCAACTGTTTTCCAGAATAACGTTAGGAATTACACTAATAAAGCAAAGCCAATATCGTTTTATTTCATGTATGAACATCTTCTTTCACTCGACTGTGAGTCTTAAAGGGGATGAATACTTTTGACCCATGTCCTCCCCAGGCCCTCAGTCACTCCAAAAATCAGCCTAGGAATTTGTTACATACACTTTTAGCACAAAAGTAGAAATTTTTTCATAGGAATTTTCCAGTTGCGCCAGCCATATTTCTTACATACCTGTTTAAACATCATTGAAATACACAAATGCCAGACTGCAGAATTTTTGGTAAATAGACTGTCACAGGAATAAATGCTTCTGACTGTTTATTTTTTAATTGTGGTGAAATATCCACAACACAGAGTCTATCCTTTTAGCCATTTTTAAGTGTACAATTCAGTGTGATCATTTCTATTTTATGGTAGAATCTGCTACACTGCCTCTGTAAGTGAATGAGTGTGAACATGAACTTTAGCTAAGAAGGCGAATCAGTGTGAACACCGACCTGTGCTAAGCAGCCTGGGCTATTTGGTCAGCCCAGATACGGGTTGATACGATGTACTTAGAATGAAGAGTCCTCTGATAGCGTCAAAATAGCATTGGTAGATTTGTTCGGGGCCATTCTGGCATGACTGTAGAAAATTTGAATAGGTCTGCCCCTCTGTACCAAGAGTGGCCCAGAGGCAGGCTGGGATAGGCACTCTCCCTACCCCGACTTGGAGATTTTTTTAATTAATTTTTCCCATTGTGAAACCAACATAAGAACACTATAGAAAAACTTAAAAAGAGTTTTTGAATGACTCTTTAAGGGCCTGGGAGCTGTTAGTATCTTGTGCTTAAACCACTAAGCTGGGTATAAGTTGGGTCTGGGCCCAGTCTGGCAACTTCAGTTCATTGCTCGGCAGTTTACACAGAGCTGAACACGTGGAAATTAGACTACGCATATTCTGACTGAGTGAAAGTCACCCAGCCGCCATGGGTTTCACTGAGGAGCATATGGCTCACTGCCCATTCCATATCTCATGATGCCCGGATGAGCCGGGTTAGTCTAGAACCGTTACTGAAAAGTGCCTTTTCACCTGATGTGATCCTTCTCTTTCCCTAGTTCATAGACGTCGACAATTTCCTGACAAACCCACAGACCCTCAGCCTGATGATTGCAGAAAACAAAACCATCGTGGCCCCCATGCTGGAGTCCCGGGGCCTGTACTCTAACTTCTGGTGTGGAATCACCCCTCAGGCAAGTGTTTTGGTTAATGAGTTAAAGCTGTGGGCTTTACCAAGGCAGCAGTGGTGACAGCAGCCCCTTCCTCTGTCTCTTGTATCCTCCCTTGAAACACGGCTACCATTGTGCGACTAGAGCAAGAGATTTCGGGAAAGGAGGGGAAATCCAGATCTAATGCAGCAACCCAGTGGGCTCTTCTGTGCTAAATAACCATCAAGAAAATGTTCCAAAGAGCTTAGCCTTGGAAACTCCAAATTAACCAGTGGAGCAAGCAGGGATTTGCACTCTCTCCCCCCTAATTCAGGGATTTTTTTAAAATTAATTTTTACCATTGCAAAACTAACATAAGAACACAATAGAAAAACTTAGAAATGGAAAAAAGTAAAACAACAATCAGAAACATAGAAACAATAAATATTCATCCCACCACTACAATATCACAGAGATGGAAGCTTGTCTGTTTTTAATAACCCTATTCTCATCAAGTGGCTGCACTACAGTTTACTCCTCCTTTCCCTTAGTTTGAGCAATGTTTAAGTTGTTGGCAACTTTTAGCTGTTCCAGTGAACATCATGAGGGATAGAAATTTTTCTGTGGTTAAGATTATTTTCTTAGAATAGCTTCTTAGAAGCAAAGTTACCGAGTCAAAGAGTGTAAACATTTTGTTGACCTTCTATATATGTTGTCCAATTTTTTTCTATAGAGGTCTAAGGATGAAAACTAGTAAAGTATCTTGTTTTTCTATAATTCAAGTTAAAAAGACAAACTGAGTTTCCATCATTGCTTTTTTTTTTTCCCTAGTAAAATCTTCAAAGGCTAGAGTTCTGGTGTGGTTAATGATGGATGTTATACTTTTTATTCTTTAGTTAATAAATTAGAGATATAGATGATCTAAGCAAATATATGTCAATGTAGAATAAAGAAGTGCTGATGGGAAAAATGTTATGTTGAATGTGTCCTCCTGGCTAGAAGGCTGAATTTTGTCTTTCTTTTATGTTTGTTTTCTTTTGGAGGAGGAAAGAGGCCAGCAGTATGTTGATAAGTGTTTAATAACTGGCTTTCCAGGGAGAAAACTCTAGTTGGTGACATTTGCCAATTTTTTTGATTTAAATACTCCCCCTTCCATACATATGACTTAATTTTTTTTTTTCTGGTACTGGGGATTGACCCCAGGGCCTTTTGCATGTGAGGCGAGCACTCTACCAACTGAGCTATATCCCCAGCCCCTTAAATGTTGTTTTATTAAAGAAAGGGTTAATGAAACTGTAGTACAACCACTTGATGGCATAATTAATAAAAATAGAGTCATAAAGATACAGTTATTAAAATATGTAAAGCTGCTTGCTCTCTGAGGTGTAACAGAGAGGTGAGGATTAACATGCTTTTGGATTTTTTGCAAATTTCAAGCTACCAGCACATCATCTGGTTTGCAGAATTCCTGGATATTTACCAATTGGTATCTCCAGTGCACCGCTAGATGAAGCAGTCATTTTTGTTGCAATTATTTCTTCTAGTTCTAAGAGATTTTGAGTGATTTTTATTATCCATATGTCTTTTAGGGAGGCAGGAAGTTCAATTTAGTTTCTTGGGAGAAAATGTAATGTTAGCTTCAACTCAGTTAATAATCTGCACTGTTTCATGTGGCAGAATCACTTCAGGGTGGTTTTTAATGAATTATGCTTTGTCACCAGCTCCTAGGGGGATGGGGCGGAGGTTATCCCAGTGGCCACAGTCTTTTATTTCCTTCAATTATTAAAAGCAAATAGGAGAAACAGGCTCACTCATTTTGCATAGTAAAATCCAATTTCGTGCCACTTAGGGCAATTATAGCTTTCCTCAATCTATTTTTGGCTTTCTGTATCCTACTCAGGCTTCTACTAGGGTAGGAACAGAAATGGCGAGTGACTTCATAAGCTCAAGGCAGGTCCTGGTCTCCAGAGCCTTTAAACATCCAAAACCAAATGACTCTGGTGTTGTCTGGCCAATGAACAGGGATTATTACCAATAAAATTCAATTTATGTGGAAAAAGAGACACAGCCATTGCCCCTGGCTCTCTGTGGGAGGCATATTAATCTCCTTCTGCTTCCTTCCCCACCGTCCTCACTCCCGGGAAATTCAGTGATTCATCACTGTCATGAATTTTCCAAGCTTTCACTCTGAGAATATTGTTCCTAAGAAATCTAGAACTTTATAGTTGACACTAGTCCTTAACCCTTTGAAGAACCATTGTTCCTTTCATCCTGTGGAAGAAGGCTTAAAGGTTGCCCAAAGAGCAAAAGCACGGGCCATGGTCAAACAGCTAGGAGATGGTTCAGATGACCGCAAGCCCTGGGTTTGATCCCCAGCACCACAAAAGGAAGAAAGATTCTATTTAATGCATAGGAACTTGTGTATTCCACAAGTGTCGTGCTCCTAAGAGTGCTGGCCTTGTGGAACTTGACACACATTCTTCTGAGCCTGCCATCACCTAGAACATATTTAAAAGTGCCTTTCAAAGCTTCCGCTTACTTTTAAGTACGTTTCATTGACATGCATCTTCGTCTTCCCTGGAGTAGACGTGAGCTTTAGTGGTAGTCAAGTTACAGTCAGTGCCGTTGGCTTGTAGGCTCCTTGCCTAGAGTCTGCACTCCAAAAGGGCCAAGTCTGGGGTTGTCTTATTTATCAAGTCTCCACCATTTCCCACAGCGTCTGCATTAGAGCAGGTGCTCTGTGGCTGATGAATGAACAGTTGAGTTTGGAGGGCAAGCAAGCTGTATGAGGCGAACATTTCTCAACTTCAGTGTGTTCAAAACCACAAAGTGAGAAGATTGTTTGCCCTGTGGACTTGCACAGGAGGAAATTTCCAATGGTGGATCCCCAAAAATGTGGAACTGTCTAAACTCTGCCAGAATTTCAAAAAAGTAACTGCACTGAGAGAAGACCCACCTTTGTATGTCTAAGTAATGAATATTTAATTGAAAATATTAGCCGCAAGGTGATGAGCTCATTTTAATACTAGATAATGTTTGTTGATGCTTTCTTGATGCCGTGCATTATTTTAAACCCTTTCCAGTTCTATCTTACTTGATTGTTACAGAAAACCACATGGAGTAGATAAGATCGTCTCCCTATTTCAGACATAGGGACATAGGCCTAGCACGTTTGAGTCACTTGATCCACACCCGTAGACATAGCGGCTGAACTCAGAAGTCTGACACGAGAGGCCGTGTGCTTCACGGCTGTGCCCCGCCACCTCTTAATACCCACACTTCATGTTCAATCATTAGACAGCTTACAATACACCTTCACAAAGTTATTAAATCAAGAGATATACAGAATAAAAATGATTTCTGACATGGAGGCCGTTCAAGTATTGTTTTACATATAGACTGCATTTCTTGAGCTCATTTGAAAACTCTTAGGCCAAGATAAGACGACTCTGACAACTTTGGGGATTTCTTTGATGCTAGCAGATGATGGGAAAGGCGAAGTCCTTGGATCAGAGAACACAGCCCGCCTATTTGCTTTTTTGCAGGGCTTCTATAAACGCACTCCAGACTACGTTCAGATTAGAGAATGGAAGAGGACGGGCTGCTTCCCTGTCCCCATGGTGCACTCCACCTTCCTAATCGACCTCAGGAAGGAGGCCTCTGACAGGCTGACCTTCTACCCCCCGCACCAGGACTACACCTGGACCTTTGATGACATCATCGTCTTTGCCTTCTCCAGCAGACAAGCAGGTACCATTTGTGTTTGGTTTTACTAAACTCTGCAAATGCCCAGCTCCCTTATCTTGTGCATCTTGTTAAAAACCCTCCTATTTCAATTAAAATAAATAAAAATGTCCTTTTCAGGAACTGTTAGAGGCAGCGAATTGCATGCAGTAACCTTATGCTGCTGTCCCTCTGAGCATGAAGGACCAAGAGCCAGGAATGGCCTCTACCCAGGAGCCCACTCTTGGTTGCTGAGTTGAGGGGAAGGCAGTGCTCATGGCATTGGGAGTCAGGGGAAGATGACTGGCGCTCTCTGGTGCTAACTACTAATTACAGGAGTTCCTCTATTAACTGGGAAATTGTGACAGAAGTTCTGAACAACACCGGCAGAGTTCCCAGACTCTAAGAATGGAATTTTATTTCTTCTCAAAAAAGTCTGAGCTGCTATTGTGGTTCTGTTCCATGAAGTTTGCAGGGCCTCAGGCTCCCTTGATACTGCCTTTCCACCCTGCACGAGGCATCGCCCTGACTTGTAAGATCCAGGATGACTCACCACTGTGGAGGCCCCAGCCGTCAACGTGGAAACAGAGGGAGGACAAGCTCCATCTCTCCAAGGGCACAGTCCAGAGCTGAACAGAGCCTTCCACGTACATCTCCTCAGCCAGAACTTAGGAGGACAGCACCCAGCTGTGAGGGAGGCACAGAATGTCATCTGTATTCTATGCAGTCATGAGCCCCAGTTCTGTCACTCTAGGAAAAGAACAGAACAGATTTTGGAGGCAATGGAGAGGCAAAGCTAAACAAGCATTTTGTGAATCACTTGGAAAAGCATTTCCAAGAGAGTCTATATGCTCTTTATTTTCTTTTAATTTGTTTTTTAAATTTTCACTTGTTATAGACGACAGCAGAATGCATTATAATTCATATTACACATAGAGAGCACAATTTTTCATATCTCTGGTTGTACACAAAGTAGAGTCATACCATCCGTGTCTTCATACATGTACTTAGGGTTGGCGAGGATGTGGGGGAAAAGGCACACTCATACATTGCTGGTGGGACTGCAAATTGGTGCAGTCAATATGGAAAGCAGTATAGAGAATCCTTGGAAAACGGAGAATGGAACCACCATTTGACCCAACTATCCCACTCCTCGGTCTATAACCAGAGGACTTAAAAACAGCATACTGCAGGGACACAGCCTCATCAATGTTTATAGCAACACAATTCACAATAGCTAAAGTGGGGAACCAACCTAGATGCCCTTTAGTAGATGAATGGATAAAGAAAATGTGGTATATATAGACAAAGGAATATTATTCAGTATTAAAAGAGAATAAAATCTGTATGCTTTTTGAGAAAGACAAGTCAATGGGAAGGAAGACTATTTTTCTTGTTTGACCTTCACATTGCAGTCTGGGAGGACATGATTCACAAAAACAGTTCAACAGGAAGATACCTGGATTTACTGAAGCAAAGCTTTATTACAACAATTCAGTCCTTCCTGAAAGAAGGCAGGGCCCATTATTAATGTGCCAGGAATGTGCCACTGAACCTTTTTATTTTTTGGCAAAAATGGATTTAGAAACTAAGAAGATGGTGAAATAAATCCACCGCAGCCATATAAATTAGGATAAAGAGATTTTGCAAAGACCTAGGTAGTTGAGGAAGTTGCTGGAAGAGGAAAATGTTTATACGAGTTTAAGCTATAATTCACACATCACGCCATAGGTGTTCCATTCATTGGTTCCCTACTTTGGTAGGAATAAAACTATTTGGCAAAAATGTGTAAGGCTGATTTTCCCCACCGATTGCTAGAGCAATTTAGATACTTTGGCCAAGTGTATGCATTTTTTAGCCCTTCAGTCAGGAAAAAGCAATCCTTGGGTAGACTGGAAGTTGTCTTGAAGGTTCTTGTGTCCATGTTAATGGAAACTCCTTCTTTCATCTTGGTCTGTGATTTGCTTTGACTTCTCCAGGACAGAAGGCAAAGTCAGGGCCTTCCTGTTCCTTTGCTCCAGAACTTGAAGCAGGGATGTTCCAAGAAAGTGAGCTGTTGACAGTTACCATAATGGTCACTGCCTAACAGAGACCTCTTTTATAAAGCCACATCACAGGGCATTATTGTGACATGTGCACTAAATTATCATGATATAATTTCTTCCACTGATACCCGGATGGTTGGGCTGGAAGAGTGACACAGGTTAGATAGGAATTTTTTATTCTGCCCTTTTCTTGACCTATTCACTAGGACTTGTTTATGCTTTATTGGTCCAAGATCCCAAAGGCCTTTCCAGGACGTCCAAAGGAAGTATGGAAACTCAAAATTGTTTGGTGACTAGGGAGAAGAGAGATAGTGAAGGAAGGAGAGGGGAGCAACCCACCAGATTTTACTTTGGTGCCTAGAATTGTGTTCGACTGTTTGAATTGGCCAGTTGAGATCTTTACATGTGACAGTATAACTAATAGACATGATGGTGGTGAATGCTGAGGCTCAGATTGGTGGTGCAGAGGCAAACTGGGTAGAAGTTGAGGCCAGAAAAAATCAGTCATTTGGGGAAAATGAAAGATATTCCTGACAATCGTGTGGTTCCGAGGCAATATTTCACTGATCTTAAAGTATTTTCAGGAGCAAAATGACTGAGCCTGGGAGTCACATGCTACCCACAATATGTCTCTAGACTTTTCCTTTCTTGGGTCCAAAGCAAGGCACTTCCCCTCTCCCTCAAAAGAGTCCTGGTGAGAGATGGGCGCTCTTTCGTTCTTACTCTCCTGAAGCTCCCTCGCTGGTGTGCCATGCATTGGGGAGTCATTGTATATGCAAAAGGGAGCAAATGGTCTTTATGTGCCAGGCAGGACAGTTCAGCCACAAACCCTGGTCCTACATCGTTCACCTCAGATTATAGCCATTGTCACATGTGGGTGATGAGTGACAGCCACAATCCAAGAGCTTTGGTGAGCTGGGCTTGGCTGCCTGTCCTGCCCAAGGAGACAGAGCAAGGTCATTGGCAAGCCTGTGTGGCTGCAGTGAGGCCAGGGTCAAGAGTTACCTCCCATGTGGCCAGCAATCTAGACTCTGTCTCATGGCCACAGGAGCCATCCCTGGCGCCAGCCAGACGTCTTCCAAATGTCTGCTGTGGGTCAAGAGGAGAATGACCTGGGTGACGGGCAAGCAGATCTGTTTCCAGAACGTCACTGGTGGTGACCAAAAGAGCCTCCTCATGTAGGGATGGCAGTCCTTCCTGATTAACAACTCCAACACGGAGCTTGTGAATCCCGGGTGGGTAGAAAGCACTTGGCTTTGGCCCTTGGGAATGAAAATTTGGCACAAAGGACTTACTGTGTAGCCTTGTACAAGTCAAGTCCCTGAGTCTGATTTTTCATCACCAAGGAAAGAGATAATTATGGCACTCTGCATTATTAAGGTCCTATCTGTGTACAAGAAAAGGTTCAATATCTTTGTAAGGAGAGCAAAGTCCTTCGACTCCAATATGATTTGCCTTTCATCTTCAAAGGGAAAATTGTCTTCCCCAGAGGCAGCGTTCACTGGGAGTACCAGATTCCTTCATAGACGTTATCTGATTATCGACAAGCTTCCTTTTTTATTTTTTGGGGAAAATTATAATTTTATCAAATCATCCATGCACACAGTTAAAAGAGTTCAGATCGTTACCTGCAGTTTATTTAAAACTGCCCAGTCTCTTGCACCATTATCTTCTTCCTAAAGATAACTACTTTTAGCTCTTTTTACATGATAGTATAATATCTTTATTCCAGTTGCTAAATAATGTGTTTGTGTTGCTCCTTCTTTATTTTTTGACTGTAGCTATTTTCTACTGATTCTATTATAGAAGATAAGGGAGTTGGTTCTTTGCTGTCCTGTGCCCTCCACATGCAAACACATCCTTCTCATTTCCTGTCCTCTCGATGTGATTCTAGTTGACCAGTGTTTCTGTTGTTGTAATCACAGGAGCATAACTTCAAGCTCAGGCATTTGCATACTATCGCTAGTTGTCCTTTATCTAAATGAATGATTGCCTCTCTCTTTCTCTCTCCTTAGTTTTATTATTACTAATACAATAAAAAAATCAATCACTCATTTTCTCAAACTCAGAATGTTCAGATTCATCAGCTGTTGCCCTTTGGCATGTCTGTGAAGATGTGTCTTTCCTGGAGTCCTCCGATACACTGTCACAGTCATCTCTGTGGGACCCATTTCTCTTGTTCACTGATTCCCCTGGTTGTTACCTGAAGACTTCTTTCTTATGGGTTGAAATCCTCCTCCTTCTTCTTGTCTTCCTCCTCTTTCTCCTCTTTCTCCTCTACTTACCTCTCTTCCTCTTTCCACATCATCCAGTAACTTTCTGAGAAATTGAGATGGGAAGTAAATATTTTGTGACCTCACATGTATGAAATGCTTTTCTTGAACATTCACACTTGGTGGATAGCTTGGCAAGGTATCATAGCCCCTTGTGATGGAAGCTTTGGAAAGTTCGATGGTAAAATGGTTTGCCTAATTAAGGTAGAAAAGCAACCTAAATATTAAATCCTTTTTCTTCTGCTTCCTGAATTGATCAGGATTTACAGAAGGTGCCTTTTGGTTTGATGTTCCCCAGAAGCATTCATGTGGGCAAACAGCAGAGCTAGTGAGTTCCCTTGGAGAAAGCAAGAGAAGACAGTTCTTGGTGGACCAGCTCTGACTGGAACCAGATTCAGTAAAGGTGGAGGAGAAAGGCCCTATTCTTTTCAGTTCTTCTCTGTTAATGCCATGAGGCAACTTCATCTGACTTGGCAGGTGATACAGCTGACTGGTAGGAATTTTATTAACACAAAATAGAGAAGTCACTATGCAGATAATTCTTAGGAAAACATTGATGATTGTAGCAATTAACAAATCAGAAGTTTAGGCTCATGGACCAGAGCTTGGCAGACTCATCCTTTTAACTAAACAATCTTTTAATTAGCCAGGAGCATCCACTGCTGGATCATCTTGATTCCTGGATTCCTGTCTGTCTGGTTGAACACAGATGCTTTATGCTCTTAGAATTCACCAGCTAGGACTGTGAAGACCAGTGTTGAAGAGGAAAGGGATCTGACTTATTGCTGGATTGTCACATTGCACATTTTTAAAAGGACTCGAAGTGCAGGAACTCTTTTGACCCTTATGAACTTCTTTTGGAAGTTTCATGCCTATCGGTTGACTCCAAATCCATGCCTGCTAAGGGAGGAAATAGAACCAAGGAGAATCATGGAGAATTTTAAATTTATTTTCTATTTTTTCACTTTTTGTATGCATAGATTTAGCTTTAATAATCTGCCTGCCTTACAGGATTTTCCTGTTTGCTTTCATATCAAATATGGATTTCATTCCTCATTTTCTTGTTATTTCCTGTCGATGGATTACAGTGTTCCACTCTGCTTTCTGGAATGGGAATTCTTTGCCTCCCTTTTGATCCCTTCATGCCTTCAGTGTTCATTTCAGACCATGAGTATGCTTTTTCTCAGAGAGAAAAATCAATTTCCTCTGAGCTGAAGAAAGGCCCAGGGTTTTTTTTTTATGAGCCCCCAATGCTGTGTTTTGCTTTTTTAATAAAAGAATATTTTTGAGGTCTACAGGCAGTACCCGAAACAACCCCTTGGTCAGTTTCAGTGTCAAACTCAGTGTCAGCCCAATCCGGTCTCCTTTTCCACAGCTGTCGCTAAGACGTGGGTTTTCTTACCGGCTGACTTTGTCCTTCTCTTGGACCCTCAGGTATCCAGATGTACCTCTGCAACAGAGAGCACTATGGCTACCTGCCCATCCCCTTGAAGCCCCATCAGACCCTGCAGGAGGACATCGAGAACCTCATCCACGTGCAGATAGAAGCCATGAGTAAGTGACGCAGAAGCCGGGCCAATGGCCTTTGTTTTGTTGCCACAGTGACCGAACGTCTTTCGGGCCTGGAGTTTCGTGGTCATCAGTCTGCCTTGGCTGAAACATGGATAGCCATCATTTCATTCATTCTTGAACTTTTCCTATGTGAAATACGAATGTGACAAGGTCTTTGTCCTCAGGAGCTTCCTGTCCTGATGGAACGAGGGAGCGACGTATCCAAGTAAATACTTTTCACACGTAGTAAGCACTATCATAGTGTTTTGTGGAATGAGTTTAAATCCTAACTTTGCTGTTTTCCAATTGTATGACTTTAGGCAAGTAATCGTCTTAGTTATCAAGTGGAGATAAGTGGAGTTCCCAGGGTTCGGAGGAAGATTCATCATTATATATTAGGCTATGTCTAATATAATAACAATCATGACTTCAACTTAATAATAACTTATGATTTAACAGATGCCATGCAAAACATTTTTTTTGTACGTTGTCTCATTGATCCTCACAATTCAATGAAGGGAGTTTATTATCCCCATAATAAAAATGAAGAAATTGAAGGATAGAGGCCTAAAGTAACTTGCCCTAAATCGTTCTACTAAACAGATGACAGATTGAGCATTAAATTGGTCCTGCTGTCTCCAAATATGTTTTTCTTTAAACACATATTATCATTGTCTCTGAGTCTAGCAAGATGTTGGAATTGGTAAGCTCAAAAATCAGTATTGTGTAATGTATAGTGGTGGCCAAAGGAGAAAGTAGCTGGTGCCCCAGGTCCCAGGGAGGATGCTGGGAATGGCTTCCCCAAGCCATCTTCTGTTATTCGTCACTGGACCTTAGAACGTGGACATGGTGGCTGTGGTGGAGGTTGGGAGGCACACTGGGAAGTGAGGCTGGAAAGTGGGCAGGAGCTCCGCCAGGGGGCCTCTGATGATCTAGAAGGGGTTTGGACTTTTCCTGAAAGGAGGGGAGCTTTCAAAGGGATTGGAGCTTAGAAATTCCAGATTAAAATCTGGATTTAGGAAGGTCCCTCCAGTGTAAGAGAAGTTATGAATGGAGCATGGGTGGCCATGAGTGCTGCTCTCAGACCAGAGGCAAAAAGACCACTTTGTACATTGAAGGTAAAACTGGGCAGAAGATGGTGAGGATCTGATCTGGAGCCGTGGCAGTAGGCAATGGAGAGGAAGGAACAGAGAAGGAGAAATTAGGACATAGATGTGAAAGGACTTAGCCAAGAGCTGAGTGTAGGTGGATGAGCAAAAAGAAAACTTCCAAGGCCTGAGTGGGATGATTTTTAGGAATTTTAAGTGGAATAAGGCATTTAGAATAAGAGAATTTTAAAAGGAAAAACCCATGAGTTTATTTTTAGGACCATTGAATTGCTAGTGAGAATCTGTTTCCTACTCCCCTGCTCTCATAGGACAAATTCCTTTTTATCATATTTTAGGACCTGGCATATTGCCCATCCCTCATAGACATGAGTAAGTATTTTGTTGAGTACTTAAAGGATTACTGAATGAATGGTAGAACAAGGATTGGTTCATTGTGACGGTATGTCTTTAGGAATCTGGTTTGTGAATTTCTCTATTACGTACTGTTTCTGCCTCTTTCCCTGTGTTTCAAGCCCTAGAGCACAAGGGTGGAAATCTCATTGTCTTATATCCAAAGCATCTAGCACAGTGCGTGGTACACACTTGGTACCCAACAAATATTTGCTGAATGTACAATCAGACAAGTGAACGTATGAATGAGCAAATGAATGAAGACTAAGGAGTCAGTGCACTGACCTTGAAGCCAGAGGAATCAAACTGTTGAACCCAGACTCTGTCACTTACTCGGGGAGAATCCATTTCTCAGAGCTTTAGTTCCCTTGTCTATGAAGGGAGGATAATAACACCATGCAGGGTTGAGAGGAGCAAATAAAATGGTATGTTTCAACCCGATGAAATAATGAAGTGTAGCTTCACTTAGCACTTGGTAAAGTGCTGCCCCTGGTCATCCTGTTTCATGGCTGCCAGCCTTGACTCCCGAGATGTCAGCTCAGAGAGGGGCTGGCCAACCTCACGTTCTCCTGTTCTCACCCACATGACTGAGCTGAGAAATTTCAGTACACAGAAATAGGAACTTTGCCAACAGAAATTTTAATGACACAGAATTCCTTTTCTCACCAGGTAGAATTTATTTAAGAAGAACCTGTAAAGTATAGCTTTTGTTGTTGCTCTCCCTACATGTGCCAACTCTAATGCTAAGCATTTTATAGATGACATTTTATTTCATTTTTTTTTTTCAGTACCAGGGATTTAACCTAGGGGCACTTAACCACTGAGCAATGGCCTGAGCCCTTTTTATTTTTTATTTTGATAAAGGGTCTTGCTAAGTTGCTTAGGGCCTTGCTAAATTGCTTAGGGCCTTGTTAAGTTGCTGAGGCTAGCTTTGAACTTGCGATCCTCCTGCCTCAGCCTACCAAGTCATTGTAATTAAAGGCATGTGCCACCACACCTGGCCATTTTATTTAATTCTTGTAGTTTACTTTCTCTGGTTTTGCTTTTGTTAAAATTTCACATTCTGAATTTTAAAATATAGAACATAATTGGAATAATAAGATGATTGGGAAACAAAGCTTTGAGGGTTATCATGCAGAAATAGGAGCCAAAGACCCAAGGTGGTGAATAAAATGTTGGTAATGATGAAATCATATCTATCAAGTGTTCTCCTCTAAGGAAAGATGAACTAAACATTGAAAGCACTTTGCACAGTGTTGGAACCAAATGGGCAGTGAAAACGGCTGCTGGCAGTGTTATCGGACTGCACTCACTGGAGCATTAGAACGTGCATTTTTTGTGAACAAATATGGAATCCATACCTGTAATGCGTAACCCAGCCACTGGGATTACAGGTGTGAACCATTACGCTGGCTCCTGGTGGTTCTTAAGCTGAGCTTGGATAGGAGCGTGGCATTTAAACAGGAATATGGTCGAGAACGAGGAATACGGTGAGGACCTCAGGGCAAAGGGAACAGTGATCAGCCAAAGCATTTCCTCTGGAAAAGTTGGCTTAAATCAGTAGAAGGAAATAAAGCTTGAAAGATTGCCATATCTTAATTGTTGAGGCAGAAAGCCTGTCCTATAGGGCCAGTGAAAGTTTTGGAAGACCGGGTCAAACTATAAGTATCTGCTGTGGCTGGGGCTCAGCGGCAGCGCACTTGTCTGGCATTTGTGAGGCACTGGGTTCAGTTCTCAGCACAGCATATACATAAAATAAAGGTTTATCAACAACTAAAAAAAATAATAATTTTTAGAAAGCTGTAAGTATCTGTTTGACACATACTTCAGTCCCTAATTGCTCAAGATGCTGGGGTATATACAGCAGTGAACAAATCAGGCAGAAGTCTCGCTACTGAGGAACTTATCTTTAACTGGGAGAGATAGACAAGGCATTAAAGAAGCAGCCACATGAGTATTTGGGGGAACAGTGTTCCAAGCAGAAAGCACAGTACCTCTAAAGGCCGTTAGGGGAAAGCTGGTGGGTTCCAGGGACAAAAGACCAGCATGGTTGAGAACGAGGAGCTGGGTAGAGGGAGATGATCCTGGCTGAGAGCTGAGCTGCATGATGAGGAAAGACAGATTTAAGATATTTTGGTGGTAGAGCCCTTCGGACTTAGAGGCCTGGGTGCAGTCTAGGTAGGACATAGAGAGTGAAGAATGACTCCAGGATTTGGGCCTGAGATGGGAAAGACTTGGGGAGGGAAGTGTTGGTCATGTGAGCTTCAGATATGTACTAGGTACCCATCTAGGGAAGTCAGAAGGTCGTTGGCTATGTGACTCTGGACTGAGGGAAGAGGTTCCATCTAGAGGTAGACATCGGAGAATCATCAACACAGGAAGGAATTTGAAGCCACGAAACCGTGCACACTCCTATAGTAAAAGAACATAGAAGAAGGACAGATCCCGGGGGAGCGGGAAAGACAAACAGCCAGAAAGCTGGGAAGGAACTCAGGAGTGATCAAGACAGAGCCAAATGCTGCTGAGCAGTCAAGGAAAAGGGCAAAGAACGGATCATGGGTTCTGTCAAGGTAGAGAGTTGTGTGGAGCTTGACAGGAGCCTCTCCAGGGCAGTGGTGCAGATGAGAGCCCACTGGAGCCGGCCGAAGAGAAGACAGAAAGGTGAGAAGCAGGGATCTTGCCTGGTGGCATGTAGTCAGCTTTTGCATTGCTGTGACCTAAACACCTAAATACAAGAGCAACGCAGAGGAGGGAAGGTTTACTGGGGGCTCAGGGTTTCCGAGGTCTCAGTCCATAGACAGCCCACTCCATTGCTGTGGCCCAAGGGAGGCAGCACATTAGGAGGGAAGAATCCAATAGAGAAGCGCTGCTCACATCATAGTGAGGTCAGGAGGTGGGAGAATAGGGAACTTGAACCCTCCCAGGGAAGTCCCCAGTGACCCACCCCTTCTGGTCATGCCCCCTATGCATACAGTTACCACCCACTCAGTTCATTCAAACTAGGATGGGCTGAGTGTGTTACAGCTCTCACAATCCAATCAATTTAACCCTCTGAATATTCTTGCATTAATCCAGGAACTTTTGGGGGATGCTCGTATCCAAACCATAACAGATAAGAATAGAGAAATGGGTTGGAGCTGCGAGGAGATGAGAGTATATTGTTGTTGTTGGTTTGGCTTTGCTTTCTGGTTTGGTTTCTTTGTGTTATTTGTTGTGTTATGTGGGGATAGCACAGCATGTTTGCATGCTAATGAGAAGGGTCCAAGATAGAAGGAAAGCTTGATGGTGCCGAAGAGGAGATCATGGCAAGGTGGAAGTGCCTAAGAAAGCAAGGAGCTGTAACTTGAGACGGCACAAGAGGTTTAGACACAGGGATGCCTCATCCCCTGCTGCAAATGGGAAGGTGAAATGCACAGGTGCACTCGAAATTTTGTGTGTGGACTTGAGGTAGAACGAAAAGGTAGATCTAATTGATTCTGAATTCTCTTGGCAATTGTGCAGTCATGAGCTAGAGAGCTATTGGAGATTTGAGGAGGTTCTCTCAGAGACTGGGAGAGTAAATTTACTGTAGAAGTATATTTGCATCATTTGCCAATTCAGCATCTGTCATTGTAACTTTGAAGTGACCTGGTCAGTACAGTGTATCCTGAGTATGTGGTGATGGGGTTTCACGAGGATCCAGCACTCCCCAGCTGGAACCTCCCCTCCTGAGGTGCTGCCTCACGTGGGTCCAGGGTCTTGCCAGGCGAGATCAGTGGAAGGGAATTCAGGGTCTGTACAAGGAAATGCTCAGGGAGTTTTATAGACTGCAGTCTCAGAGATCAGATCGAAAGGGTTTGAGTGGTGTGGGAAAGGGTTATTACAACAACTAACACCTGTTTAAAACACAGTGCCTACCACTCTGCTTGTACTAACTAGTACATGTAACTAGCTCCTAATTAGTATATTAGGAGTTGTTCAGAGAATTTGGGAGAAGACTGGCAGGAGGCTAGATCTTGTAGAGGAGATAGATGTGAATGGATTATGAGGCACAGAGACTGTTCCTGCAAATTACAGCATGAAATAATAAGTAATCTCAGGTACCCATTCTCAGTACCAAAATTTTGAGACAACAGATGATCACATTAAACTTACTAAGATTATTGGATTTGAAGTTGGATGGTTTAAAATTGAGTCGCAGCTCTGCTAATCACTCACTATCTAACCTTGGGCAAGTCCATATCTGTATTGGTCTCCCTTTGTTTACCTATACAAACAAACCACCACCACCAAAGAGTATAGATAAAATTACATGGTAGCTATGAAAACACTTAAACCATAAAGCACTTAAGTAATTGTTAAGGCCAAGAACAAAATTTGCACTCTAGGAAGATTATTTTGACAAGTGTGTGCATAATGAGTTAGGATAGGCAGGCCTGAGAGTATGTTTGAAAAATATGAAGACAGTCCAGGCAGATGGTCAAGGCCCTCAGCTGGGAGGACCACAGAGTGGATGAAGTTCAGGAGAAACTAGAAAGAAGTGTTAGGATTTGATCTGGTGCGATCTCTGAGGTGCTTTTCCAGGCAAGACTCGTCTAAATGAATAGCTATAAGCACAGAACTGTGGCCACCAAGGATTAGTGTGGAGTGGGGGTTAAGAGCTCAAGTGCAAGAGTCATTTCTGTGTTCAGATACCAACTCTATGAGCCCTGTGACCTCGGGCAAGTTGTTTAAGCTTTTGTTTCCTTAACTGTAAAAACAGAGACTCGTACCTGTCACATAGGACATGTGAAGATCAGCTGCATGTGATTACCATATATGTCAAGAGGGCATCCCAGATCCCATAGAGCCATACGATCTCCATAATGGCAGCTCTAATTATTTAGTCCTAGATCTTGGAACTATGTGAAAGCCAGTGAAGTCCATTGTCCTAAGTGGTGGTATAGGAGGCACTACTTCCAGGAAGGAATTCAATGTCAAGTTGAATAAGCTGTGAATGATGGAGTCAGAAATGACCACAACAAAAGCTGGGACCTACTAACCTGTGTGATGTCAGCAAAGACACATCCTGCTCTCCCTTTAGTAAGTTTCTTAGGTCTGATTCTTTGGATCAAGTCCTGTGTCTCCCTATGGTTTAGTGCCGCCATCATTGATGAAATCCAGACACACTCCTTTTTTTTTTTTTTTTTTTTTTGCCCAACAGCCACTTACAACTTTTGTGAAACACTTGTCCTGTGAATGCCCTTATTTGATGGTAAGAAAGTGACTGGAAGCAGCCTGAAGCTTGACAGGCCAGTGAGTGCCCACCGGAGACTAGTTGCCTAGAAAGGGTAATATAAAGTATAACTCAGGTCTAAGGCCAAGGAGGTAGACAGACCATTTCTAGAGCATGACCAATAGGAAGGGGTTGTAACATTAAGTTTCTTTCTCTTCAAAACCTAACCCTGCACATGGTGGACCCTGCATGTTGATTTTGAAGGAAACTGATAAGTAGTAGTGGAGCAGAAAGGATCAAGCTATTCTGAGCTGCTGTTGGAAAGAATAATACACATGCCATGGACCCCCAGAAATGTGACTGTCAGGGTCAGGTTTGAAGTGATGAGACCAACTCCTGTGTTGTTTGGCCAAGGAAAGCCGTCTCACTACCTTCTAGAATTTCACATGATTTGATCCTAAGTGAAACTGGCCATGGTTTCTCTTAGTACCTCAGTGAAGAGTAAGTTAAACATATCAGATCCTTTGCACAGTATCTCAAGAAGGGCGGACTTGTGCTGGGCTGCCAAACTGTGCCCAAATCTCTTTGACTTCAAGCAATGGTGGCTCATTTTCTGCTCATCAGAGTCGCAGCCTCCTGTATTTCCAGGCAGCTGCTCTCCAGGTGTGGAACATTCCAGGCTCTGCAGATCTCTGCCTTCTCTGTCTTAACACGTGCTGCTGCCATGCCCGGGACGCTGGGATGGGATAGGGAGGAGGATTTGGAGAGCCAAGCCAAGCAGCTGTCATCCAAACCTCCTCAGAAAGTCACATGGCCCTGACCAACTTCATGGGCAAGAAAGTGTATTCATTTCTTGTGCCCAGAAGAGAGGAGAGAGGGTGCTGATGAGAGTAGGGATGGACATCACTCACAGATCTTTAAACAACCCAGTGATCACCTCTCATTTCAAATTTTCTTTATCTCTTTAAGGAAAATCAGATTAGTGCTTTGAATTTGTACAACACCAAAAAATCTTTAAGACCCTCTCAACCATTTCCTCTGAACCATTAAAGGAGGCTTTTCTGAGGGTCAATAATCTTCCATCATCTCTGTACCCAGCCTGAGAGGTGAGCCAGCCCTTTGAGGCGAGAAGGAGTTAAAACAAAAGCCCTTCGGTACACCTGTAGCTGCCCCTGCCGGGTTGGGATAAAAGTAGCCCCAGGCTTTGACAATTTTAAAAAATGTACAGAAAAAGAGCATTCTTCAGGGAGGATAAAATTAACCTATTTCTGAGCTCTTTCGCCATGGGCCACAGTAGGTAAAATAGTTAAGAGAATTTATTACATTATTGTGGTCATGCTTTGCATGCAGATCTCATTTAAATTTTACAATCCAGAAAAAAATCCATTTATTATCCCAATTTTGCATGCGAAGAAACAGGCTCCGAGAGGTCTCATAACTCTCCTAGGCCCTCACTGACTGGATCATCTGACTCCAGAACCTTCTCTCTTGGCCATTATGCTAACCTGCCTCCAAACCCAATTAAAGTAAGTCTTCAGGGATGTGAAGCAGATACTGCAATTTGCATATGCACAAGTGCTTTCACAACCAGTGCCTGACCCTCAGGCTTCCTGGAGAACTGCTGAATGGTTGTCCCCTGCCCTGGGTGTCTAGGGTGATTCCAGCCCTGGTGATCAGGTGTGCAGATGGAATTCTGTTTTCTGACCCTTTCCCTAACAAAGCACTCTGTGTGTTTCTTGTGTCTTCCAGTTGACCGTCCTCCCATGGAACCCTCCCAGTTTGTGTCAGTTGTCCCTAAATATCCAGACAAGATGGGATTTGATGAGGTAGGAAAGTCTCTGTGTGTGTGTGCATGGGTGCAAATGTTTGTATGCTGGAACACAGCTGAGCGTGTGTCCGAGAGCCAGAAGGCTGGGCTTGGCTGCTGAAAAGGGGCTGAGGGCTGGGGGAAGTACTGAGTTTTTGTTATGCCCCAGTCTTCCTCCAAAAGGAGGACTGTGGTAAAAGTGAGTCGATGGTTCAGTCAGAAAGAAGCACCTAGTAGTGAAAGTGAATTCACCATGTTTTATCGACCGTCTTACCAAGGTTCAGGGGTAGGGTGAAGAGGACATAGGGTGTAGACATAGGAGCACATTCACTTCACCCTGCCATAGAGGAGTGAGCGGACACTATTCTGGAACCCTTTCTTTTCCGTCTGTCCTTCTTCCATGGAAAAAGGTTGGAGGACAGAGTTGAGAGGACAGAGAAGGAGAGAGGAAACTTGTTCTAAAATTCTGCCTTTCCACAGGCAAGAACTTCAAAACAACATTCTGTGAAAAGAATAAGTCAGGACTAGGGGGGTGTGCAGCTCAGTGGTACAGCAGTGAGGCTCTGGGTTCAATACCCAGCACCACAAGAACAGAGAGAGAGACAGAGAAGGAGACAGAGACAGAGAGGACAGAGAGACAGAGAAAGAGAGGATTCAGAGGCGCCTCTATTGGCAGTATGCACAAAAGACGCTTGACAAGGCCTGAACTGTGACTCCATGTCACTGACTCCTTCCTGAGTCTCTTGCATGGCTTCTGTCATTCAGGAGGAGTCTAGAGCTGGGACAGCTTCTCAAAAATCCACGAACTGAGACAGATTTTTCCATGAATTCTGGATATGCTTATTGGTCAAACATCATGCTCTGTGCTGCTCAACGGAGGGAAATGTCATACTGCACTGTGACATGTACACATATGTACACATGTGCACATACATGTGACATACATGTGTGTTCCCAAAATAGGTCCTCCTTGAAGAGCTGCTAGAACTGAGAATTGGGATTTCTTCCATAAAATTGACTCAGAGCTAGTCTTCGGGAATGGGAATGAATGCTTCATGAATACCAAATGCAAAGAGGAAGCAACATTCTGCTACTTCCACGGAGGACAGAATGAGAAGAGATGGATTTACGTGTAGTGAAATAGAGCTAGACCCAGTTGTAGATAGTTTTCAAAAAGGACCGGGGCTGCAGAGAAACTTGTTCCACCTCACTCGCTGGCCCTGCTTCTGCGTGGCACTGGAGCCTTCCTTTCCTGTGACCCTTACCAGTGTCTTCACATAATTCACTTTTCCTCCTAAAATCACATTTCCGTAAGGACCAAAACTGTCCTTCTATAAGGACAGATAAAATGGGCCAAAACAAGATCTCACTCTGGTTCTCTTTTGGCAGGACAAGGTGTTAGAACTGGGTCACTCTCAGGGTCCCTGGGGAAAATGCTAGCTCCAGGAGGTGACACACTCAGAGGCTCTGCTTTCCTGAGGCTGGGACCTTGTCTCTGTCTGGAACAGGCGTGGAGGGTGGGAAGGCATTTTCAGAGCCTTTTCAGTCCTGGTCCTGTGACCTCATCAGTGGTGTCTGGGCTCCATTTGGCTGCCCGGCCCTTTTCTCTGTTTATTCTTTACGAAGTACGAGCGAGCAGTCTGTTTCTCCTTCATGGCCACCATTTTTATTGTCCCAGTAGGGACACATCTTTATTGCATTTGGACTGTTATTGACTAAAGGCCTCCAGACTGAAGGTCTCTGGTTTGAGGGGACTATTTAAATGCATTTTTCCCCTGTTTTGTCCTGTTTCTGTTTTCCTGGAGCCAGCCCAGGTGGCCCCATGCTTGTACAAGAGGAAATGCCCTTTCCTTTCCATGTCTGTAAAACTGGGGGGTGGAGCACGGCTCACGACCACGATTCTCACCAGGTTGAAAGTGAAACATTAAAGAACACAACTCATGAGGTTATAAAGTCCCAAGTAATAAGGCAAATAGAGGTGACACAGAAATTATTTTTTATAAAAAAATAATTATCCAGCTAAGTAAACAAAGGAGGTAATAAAAAATCATGATGCACTCAATCTGCTTTGCCCTGCATTGGATGGATGATTTTCTAAGAGAACATGTTGCTCTCCTTAGTTTCTTTGCCCAGGAATTTGTAAACAAATACAAGTAAGAATATGTTGCCGGGGAAGGTTAAAATTTTATTCAATGTAGCTTTTGGTCCTAGTAAAATATATAATATATTTATGATTACATTCAGAATGATCATTGAACCAAAGCTTAATGCAGTTTATTCTAAACTTAATCTTGGTTATAAGACATAGTTTCTTTTTATTTTGGTCACAGTAAAAAAGCAAAATTTATCATAAGCCCCAAATAGAAGTTTTCACTCATATGAGATTTTTTGAGAGATGAGTTTACTCAACTCCCTTTTTTTAATATTTATTTTTTAGTTGTAGTTGGACACAGTACCTTTATTTCACTTATTTATTTTTATGTGGTGCTGAGGATCGAACCCAGGGTCTCACACATGCGAGGCAAGTGTTTACCACTGAGCCGCAACTCCAGCCCCTCAGCTCCCTCTTTTCATGGGAGCATACAGATGTTACAGAAGTCATACGGGTGTTCCATTGGGATGAAGTCAGCATCCTCTGACTTATTCCTGTAGGTTTCTCCCTCACCGTGTTTTGTGTCAAGATCATTTCTTGCTGACTGCTGAAATCTTCCCACTTTGGAGGGCTAATTGAACATTGAAAATCAATTTTTATTGCTTATAGCAAGAAGATCTTATTAAAATGCTACTTGACCGCGATCACAGTCACAAGGCTTTAGGTTTTTCTATGGTTCCTTAAATCTGGAATAGCTGGGAGAGCCTCATTGCCTGTGATTCCTTAGAGCAGCCTTTTGTGTGTGTAGTCATGCAGCCCTTGGGGATTCCCAGGCCAAGGAGAGGAGGAGGACACAGTCCTCGTGGGGGAAGATCGGTACTCCATTCTTCCTTACGTCACAGACACGAAGGTGTCCTTTCCACAGTGAAACTGCAACTCCTGCCCAAGATGCTTCGTTTTGTCTCTGTTAATAGCTGCAACCTGCTAGTTTCTGCTTCTGTGATCACGCTTGCTCAGCACCTGGGGCAGGAACCAGAGCTGCCTGGAGAAAAGGGAAGGGATGAACCATCTTGGAACCATCTTGGAAACTGCAAGTCTGTACTGTAGAAAAGACACTGAGAACAAAGGGCTGTGCTCAGCCTTTGGAGAAGACTCTGCTGAACCTGCACTATACATGTACACATATGTACATGTGTGTGAATAAGCCTTGCTCTTCTGCACCTCCAAGGGCCGTTTGTCTCTTTCCATTGCCATAATTTTCCATATTTTTTTTCCTGTATTTTCTCCCATATTTTCTGGAACAATAGCATTTCCACTTAGTGTCGAAATTGGGTCTTTCCTTCCCTCCTTTATCCAAGAACCACCCCCAAGGACAGGGCCCCTTTTCTTTAGTTTCTACCTTAGTTTCTATGGGAGTTGGAGAATTCTGGCAGGGAAGCTACTAAAATAGAGGCTTCGATGATTCATTTTGGAACCTTTGGAAATAACAGCAACATAGGAAGACTTTAGATTTTTCTTATTTTTTGAATGATGTTAAATGTATTCAGTAGATTTGTCTATGTATTATGGGTGAGGTGGGACCATTATTATCCCATTTCACAAATGAGGATAGTGACACAGAAACTGACCCAAGGCAAACCCTCAGCAAGTAACAAGACCTACCCTGAGACTGCCTATCAATTTAACCACCTGGCCCGTTGCTTCCTACCCCTCAGGGCTGTATTGGGTTTAATTCGTCTTTGGCCTCATGAAGAATAACTTTTTGAGCTTTCTCAACAGTAGAGGAAACATGTTTATCAGTGAATATCAGAGGAACAAAGAGTTAAGTCACTACCAATGATTATATTTTGAAAGTAGCTCATTTTTTTCCTCTATAAAATATTTTTGTTTTTTAAATTTATTTTTAGCTGTTGATGGATCTTTATTTTATTCATTTATTTTTATGTGGTTCTGAGAATTGAACCCAGTATCTCACACATGCTAGGCAAGCACTCTGCCACTGAGCCACTACTACCCCAGCCCTATAAAATGTTTTTACAAAGCAAATCTTCACAGTAGTTTTCCTATCCTTTCCTTGTCCTACCTTAAACTTTGATCCTAACATTTGCTAAACTTTTCAAACAGCTTGAAATAAGATGGGGTCATTTATGGTTGTTTTTATTTCCCCCCCTTTTGCTTCCTGCATTAGATTTTCATGATCAACCTCAAACGCAGAAAGGACAGGCGGGACCGGATGCTGCGCACGCTCTACGAACAGGAGATCGCGGTCAAGATAGTTGAAGCGGTGGATGGGAAGTGAGTGGGGCTTGACTCCCTGCGCAGAAGCGGTTGGAGAGGGGAGGTGTCTTCTCTGACAGAGAGTTAGTCCTGTCTGAGGCTCCAAGTGTCCTGGGCCTTAGGGATGGACACATTGCACCGATGCCATTCGTGGCACTGAAGTTAGTTTCACCATGTAGGACAGGCCTGAGGTCCACTTCCCAACTGGTGACCTTTGGTCTGCATGACACTGAAGACTCACATTGGACTTGATTGTCCCCTGTCTCTGACCATTCTTGCAATAGCCGTGGTGGTTCCCAGCTTTCTGTGTTGTGACAGAAGAAGGAATGTCAACTTGAGGTGACTAGACTTGAAGAAAGGAAGCAGAAAACCACATAAAGGTCCCCATGTCCTGTAGTGTGAGGCACATGCCACAGCCCACCTGCAATGACCACAGTGGCCATATTTCCTGGGAATATGGCAGGAAAATCACACAGAGAAACCCAGTTGGATTCTTTCGCTGCTGTTTTGCTTTGCTTTGCCCCCCTTTTTTGCCATCCCAAACTCTTTCAAGGCACAGATTTTTGCAAAACATGAGTTTCCCTGTTAGATGCTGGTTAAGAATATGAGTGGCATTGTTCTCTCTTTATGTAGTGCCAACTAACGGGTGTGGCTAGCAGCTTCTCAAGTTATGACTCCCGTAGAGAATCTCATCAGAGTTTCTCAAGGTGACTCCCCCAGAGAGTCCCAGAGATGGTTACCAGGACACCACATGCTTTCCTCTTCAGACTTGTTAAAAGGTGATCTCGAGGGGAGGACCCAGGAACTGCCTGTAAGAAGCCTCAAAATAATTCTTGGGGAGAGTCGCCATATGAAATACTGGATATTTGGTTGAATTTTGTCCCAAACATTACATGGGACTTAGCCAAACCAGAAACAAATTTTCATTGTTTATTTGCAATTTAAATTTGATTGGCTATTTCTGTGCTTTTGCTTGCTAAATCCAGTAGCTCTATTCTTGGGTGAGTTTGGAAACCGCTGTTTTTAAACATCTCCCCAAACCCCTGACCCCTTTAGGGACCAGGAAACTAGTTGAGCCATGAGAATTCTTTATGTGTTTTGAATACAAGTCCCTTACCAGATCTATAATTTGCAAATATTTTCTCCCAGTTTGTGAATTGTCACAGTTTCATGATGGCATCATTAAAGCAGAAAAAGAAGGTTTTTTTTAATTTTGATTAAATCCAATTAGTTGTTGTTGTTCTTGTTGCTTGTGCTTTGGGTATCATATCTAAGAATTCAAATTCAAACCCAAAGCCATGAAGACTTAATATTTTGTTTTCTACTAAGATTTCTGTAGTTTTATCTCTTACATTTAGGTCTTTGATCTATTGAGATATAATTTTTATATATGCTGTGAGGTAGGGGTCCAAATTTATTCTTTTGTATATGGATATCTAGGAGTCCTTGTATCATTTGTAAAAAGATTATTATCTCCCCCACTGAATTTTCTGGCACCCTTGTTAAAGATTATTTGACCATATATGTAAAGGTCTATTTCTGAACTCTTAATTCCATCCAATTAATTGATAGCTCTGTCCTTATGCCTGTGCTGTATTGGCTTGTTGACTGTGGCAATGTATTTAAGAAAATATATGTCCCTCAACTTTGCATTCTTTTTTAAGATTGTTTTAGCTATTCTGGGTCCCTTGCATTTTCCTATGAATTTCAGGACTATCTTGTCAACTTGCATACACACGGAGTCAGGCAGCTTGGATTTTGATAGGAATCACATCGAATCTGTAGCTCAGTTTGGGGAGTATTGCTATCTTAACAACATGAAGTCTTATGATTCATAATCACAGCATGTCTTTTCATTTTTGTAGATCTTCTGTAATTCCTTGAATGATGTTTCATTACTTTTATGTCTTGTTGCTTCATTACTTTTAAGTCTTGCATTTATTTTGTTAAAGTTATTCTTAAATAATATCTTTTATATTATAGTAAGAGAATTGTTTCTGTAATGTCATTTTCAGAGTTAGATATATAGAAACATGATTGATTTATGTACATTGATCATGTATCCTGCAACCTTGCTGAATAGTGTGTGCAGGCACACATTCCTTAGGACTTTTTTGTGTGTGCAAGATAATGTCATTTGCAATTAGAAATAGTGTTACTTTATCTTTTCCAATCTGAATACATTTACTTCTTTGTCTCACCTTACGACCCTGGCTAGATCCTCAGGTACAATATTGAATAAAGTGAAAGAAGACATTCTTATCTAGTTACAGATCTTAAGAAAAGCATCTATGCCAGGTGCAATGGCATGCACCTGTAATTCCAGTGGCTTGGGAGGCTGAGACAGGAGGATTGAGTTCAAAGCCAGCCTCAGCAACTTAGTGAGGTCCTTTGCAACTCAGCAAGACCCTGTCTCTAAATAAAATGTGTATAAAAGGTGGGGGGCTGAGGATATGGTTCAGTGTTTAAGCATCCTTGTGTTCAAAAGAAAGCAACTAGACTTTCCCCATTAAGTATGATTTTGCTGTGGGTTTTTCACAGAAGGCCTGGAGTTGGGGAAGTTGCCTTTTATTCCTATTTTGTGAAGTATTTTTATCATGAAAGTATGTTGGATTTTGTCAAATGCTTTTTTTCTGTGTCTGTTGAGATGGCACACAGTGTGCCAAAACATCTAACAGGATTTCCAGGGGGGAGTTGCAGCTATGAATGCCTATGTTAAAAACAGATGATCTCAAATAGATAATCTAACCAACCGCTTTAAGAAACTATAAGAACAAAAGCAAACTAACCTCAAATCAAGTAGGAAAAGAACATAATGAAGACTACAATTGAAATAAATGAATGAAAGAACAGAGAAATAATAGAGATTGTCCAAGAATGGTTATTGGATAAGATAAAAAAATACTTTACATAGGTTGATGAATTTTAAAAATGACTAGAATCAAATGATTAAAATAAAAAACAGAAGAGGGGACATTCTTACAGATCCTGCAAAAGTAAAAAGGATTATACTATGAACAATCATTGGCTAAAATTAGATAACTTCCATGAAATGGATGAATTGATAGAAAGATGTACACTACTGAAATCGACCCAAGGAAAAAGTAGAAATTCTGAATAAACATATAGCAAGTAAAGAAGGGGAGTTAGTAATCAAAAAATTCCCACAAAGAAAAGTCCAGAACCAGATGGCTTCACTGGAAAATTCTGCCAGATATTTAAAGAAGAATTAATACTAACACTTAACAAACTCTTCAAAAACAGAACAGGAGGGAACGTACCCCAGCTGATTCTATGAAGCCAGTATTGTTCTAATACAAAACCAAAGACATTATAAGAAAACTACGGAACACTATCTCTTATTAATACAGATGCAAAAACCTTCAAGAAAACGGCAAATAGAACCCAGCAACATACAAAAAGGATTATACAGCACAATCAAATGAAATTTATTCCTGAATTGCATGCTTGGTTTAATATGTGAAAGTCTGTCAAAGTAATGTAGCATATTAATAGACGGAAGTCATACATGGTCAGTTTGGATATACTATGTTTTTTCTATTTCAAAATATTTTCTAGTTTTCATTATGCTTTCTCCATTAAGTTAATGGAGTGATTGTTTAGGAATGTGTTAATTTCACAGATTTGTGAATTCCCCAAATTTCCTTTGTTAGTGATTTTTAATTTCATTCCATTGTAATTGGAGAACATACCTAGTATGATTTCAGTCCTTTTTAAGTATACCAAGGCTTGATTTAAGGTCCATATGGTCCCTATGGCCTAACATATGATCTCTCTTAGAGAATGTTCCAAGTACACTTGAAACAATGGTATTTTGCTCTTGTGAACAGAGTATTCTACAGATGTCTCTCAGGTCCAGTTGCTTCATATGCTATTCAAGTCTCCTATTTCTTTGTTCTCCGACCTAGTTCTTCTGTCCAGTGTTGAAGGCAAGATATTACAGTCTCCCACTATGAATGTTGCATCGTCTATTTCTCCTTTCAGTTCTGCTAGATTCCACTCTGTGTTTGGGGAATCTGCATTAAGTACATATGTATTTATAATTGTTTTAACTTCCTGATGGATTTTATCATCTGCCTTGGTGTCTAGTAGAAATTTTCTCTAGAGCCTTATTTTATCTGATGTTAACATAGCTCCTCCAGCTCTCTTGTGGTTACCATTTGGTATTGTGAAATAGTAATTTATAGTCTATCTTTTTCCTCCTTTTACTTTCAATCTATTTGAGTTTTTTTTTTTTAACTAAATTATGCCTCTTGGATGTTTTTAAACTCAATCTCTGTCTCTGAATGTGGTGTTCAGCCTGTTTGCCTTTACCACCTGTTCCCCCAAAGGTCAGCCAGAGGTCTTATCAGGTTCCTCTCAGGTCTTTTTGGCGGGGGGGGGGAGGTACTCATTGTTGAATACATCTAGAATCTTCTAGTTCTCAAGAATATGCTAGAGGGCTGGGGTTGTGGCTCAGTGGTAGAGCTCACAACTTGCACGTGTGAGGCCCTGGGTTCGATTCTCAGCACCACATACAAATAGATAAAATAAAGGTCTATTGACAACTAAAAAGAATATTTAAAAAAAAAAAAAAAAAAAGAATGTGCTGGAGCTTTTCAAAGCTCCCTATGGACATCTTATTCCTCGGTTTTTCCTTTAAAGTGTTTCCTTTAGGTGTTCCCTTAGCCTTCACTGGTCAGGCTGCCTGGGTCGTTGTAATGTGAAGTGGTTGCTACTGGTGGTTTTTAGACAGATACTCTGCCGAGAGGACTGTTCACAGAGAGTGAACCTGAGTCAGGTCAAATCGAGACAAGCTCTGAGAAAGGAGCTTTTCGGGGACTGCCAGAGAGGTTGAATAGGGACTGTTTTGCAGGGACAGGTCTTCAGGAGAGTCCTAATCCACCCTGTCTCTTGCAGTGGCTAGGAGGTGGCTGTTTTCACAGCTACAAAATAGTTGCGAGGCGCTGGTTTTCGAGACTTCTGTAGGGCTGGGATGAGGTTAGGGCTGGAGTTAGTTCCACGCAGCTCGCTGTGCTTACAGAGACTCCGCTGGGGTTTTTATTTGTTTTTAAATAACTATTCCTTGGATTGTTGCAATTGTTTAGCTAATTTTCAGAGTTCTAGAAAAGCTGAGTGTGACAATTTTCACCAGTGCCCTCATTACTTTCATGGATGAGTGGATTTTCAGAGTCCTGCACACTACCATTTTGGAAATGATTCCTATTTATTTTTATCATCAACATTGTTTTAATTTTAGGTCCAAAGGAAAGACCCACAGAGGCACATGCTTCCTAACCCTTCCTCTCCTCATTCCTGGCTGAACTGAATGCTCCTAGGAACCACTTTTCCTGCATTAAGAGAGCATTTTTGGAAAGTTTTCAGACAACCTCAGATACTCAGAAGCATGTCATACACCATGGTGGTGTTTGACAATGAGAGACACCATCTCGTCTCCACACATGGCCTCATGATGCCACTGTGACGCTTTAACCTTGAGTAACTTGTACAGAATAACAGGAAACCGAGAAGTCCTTCTCTCTGTGTGTAGCGGCTCTGGGAAACCCCTGGGATTCTCTGTGGGGGCCACGGGGTGAGGACGCCCCGACCTGTGTTTTCAGCCCTGCTCTCTGTCCTGCAGGGCTCTCAACACAAGCCAGCTGAAGGCCTTGAATATCGAAATGCTGCCAGGTTACCGAGACCCCTACTCCTCCAGGCCTCTAACCAGGGGTGAGATCGGCTGCTTTCTTAGTCACTACTCTGTCTGGAAAGAGGTAAATGAGGCTTGATTTAGAGGGGCAGCTTTGTAATGAGGAGAAAGAAGAATGGGACTTTGAGGGGAATTAGGACCAGGGGGCAAGTGAGCTGGAGACTTTTCTGAAAGGCAGTGGGTTGATCTGCCTATGACTCCCTCTGGCCCAAGGCCAGGAGCCCTGGTGTCCCCCAGGACACTGACAGGGGAAGAGAGCCACATCCTGGGAGCCTTACTCCTGTTAGTTCATTCTCCTTACCAACAGGATTGCCTGTACCCATCTGTCATGTCAGCAGTGATTGTGTGACAGGAAGTCACACAGAAGTCTCATGGGTGGGTTAGGAAGACAGACTTTTTACCCAAGAGGAAGTTATTAAATAACTCAACTGGGTAAGAAGAGCAGAGCTGAAACTTGACCCCAGGTCTTACAGATCAAGTTCTTGATTGGAGTGTGGGGTTCCCAAATAAGGGTCAGCTCCTGCAAGAAAAGAAGGAGTCCCCAAATAAAGAATCTTAAAGTAAAGTACCTTCTCTCATTTGATGGTCTAGTTCATGTCTTTTTTTTTTCCTTTAAACTTTAATGACATTCGAGATATATATATATAAAGATACAGCTCGAATAAATCTCACAAACGGAACACCACACCTGTATTGATCAACATCTGGATCAAGAGACAGGTTACCAGCTATCCAGAAGTGCCCCTCTCTGTACTTCCTCTCGGCCCCCCTCCCCAAGGGTAATCACCATCCTGACTTCCAAGAGCAAGACACAGCTTTGCCTTTTTTTTGTACTTTCTTTTATATGAATGAAATCTCACAGTCCGTGAAGCCTCTCAACATTGTACTGGGGAGATTCGCCTGTAGCATTGCACTCAGTTACAGATCAGACCTCCTCACTGCTGTGAATATACCATAGTTTACCCTTTATTCTGTAGAAGGACACTTACTTAAGAGTCCAGTTATGAGCTACTCTACCCTTGACTTTCCAATACTTATTCCAATACTTATTTATCTAATAAAAAGTGAGTGTCAACCTTTTCATAGGGTGTCTCCTTGCTGATGACCTTTGTAGGTAATTGACCGGGAACTGGAGAAGACTCTCGTGATCGAGGATGATGTGCGCTTTGAGCATCAGTTTAAGAAGAAGCTGATGAAGCTGATGGATGACATTGACCAGGCTCAGCTGGACTGGGAACTGATGTGAGTGACAACACAAGCTTATTAGAGAACATGCAGGGCACTCAGTCCTTTCCAAGGGACAGAACGTCCTGCCTCCCCAGCTGGTAGAAGAGACAGTCAAGCTTCAGTGTGCCTGGTTTTCTCATCATAAACGTTTGCAGATACAACAAGTGGGTGGAGGTTAGCCCCTGGGTTTGCACCCATCTCCTTCAGGACGAGACACTATGGGAGATGCTCTATGAGATGGGAATCTGCCCGCAGATCCTTCTGACAGAGCAGCCGTGAGTGGCACCAAGCACCACTTGGGAACACAGTGGACATCTCACCCATGAAGTCCAGGGGCTCGTGAATGGGTGTGGAGAGGGAGAAGAGGCAGGCATTGGAGGGGAGAGGCATGGCATAGTCAGACCGCAGCTCCAGGGAGAGTGAGCCCTCTGCAGCCCCATGGGGTTCGAGGAGGAGGCTCAGCAGGAGAGGCTGTCCAATAAGACCACAATGACCGCTGGGCTGGGGAGGTTCTGAGGTCAATGCAGGAGAAACAGGCTCTCCAGGGAGGGCAGCTGCGAGCTGAGGCTGAGTTCATGCTCCCTGTGGACAGCCTTAGCAACTGAGTTTCTCTCTCTCTCTCCTTCCCTCCCTCTCTTCCTTCCTTTGTTCCTCCTCCTCGTCTCTCCCTCTTTCCTTCCTTCCTTTCTCTTTCTTTTCTTTTTCTTCTCTCATTTTCTTTTAAAGCAAAACAGCTCTTACTACTTCCTTCCAATGAGGCAGAAAGTTCCCGAGCATTGTTTGCTCCCCAGCTGCGTGTCATGGCAATTTGTCAGGTCGGAGCCTGATCCTTGGGAGCAGCTGCAGCAGCCCAGCTGACCCTGTTCCCCCCAACTGCCTGGGGGACGCTTAACCGTAGACCCAGGTGCCATATCAGTTCTCTCAGAAAATGGGCCAGTCTGAGCTCAAAAGGAGCCCAGCAATGGCCCAACTAACTCATGGGAAATAGACCCTAAATCGGCACTATGCAATAAAGACACCGGCTCCCAGGCAGATGTCTGTCATGTGACTCAGTTTGGCATGCTGCACAGTCCCTGGAGATCACTGTTCTTCCCCCATCCTCTAGAAGTCTCTGCCCTTCAGCCCTTTTTGAACCTGCGCCTGCCACCTGGGGTGGAGGACTCTTGGGTGCAGAGCCATGTGACATGTCTGAAGGTGGCTTCCACTTAAGCCTCGTAATCACAGAAGACTCAGCTCAGGAGATCTAAGGCTTATCCTTGGAGTCCATCCCTGTCCACAGGTTCTTTGGTTGGCACATTTCTCCGAACAAAGTACCAACACATCCAGGGAGTGATGGCTGTCCTGATAAGACACAGGGAAGAAGTATTTTAAAGTATTCTAAATCCACAGATGGATCCAGTAAAAATGTTTCATTAAAATATATTGTATAGTCTTAAAAACCCTGCGACAGTTTCAAGTTTTACTTCTCACTTTCTAAAATGAAGAAGAAACAAATGTCAGTTAAGCCCAAACACAAATGCTACTAATCTATCCATGGTTGCTACATTAAATTTTTACAGAAAAAGGAAATGATGATTGAGATAATAGACCAAGTTGTTGGAATCATCTAGGGAGTGCGCTCTCTTCAATAAAAATATAATGTGAGCCCTATATGGTGTTTTGAATTTTCTAGTAATCACATTAAAAGGTAAAAATAAATTAGGTGAAACTAGTTTTTAAAATACATTTTATTTAACCTAATATATCCAAATATTATTATTTTAGCATGTCATTAACAGTGGTGCTCATTCTTATTAATGTTCAAGTTGAAATTTTCTCCTCCTCTCCGTTCCTTTTAGTTACATTGGTAGGAAGAGAATGCAAGTAAAAGAGCCAGAGAAAGCCGTGCCCAACGTGGGGAATCTGGTCGAAGCGGACTATTCCTACTGGACGCTGGGCTATGTCATCTCTTTGGAAGGAGCACAGAAGCTGGTTGGAGCTAATCCTTTTGGGAAGATGCTGCCAGTGGATGAATTTCTGCCAATCATGTACAACAAGCATCCTGTGTGAGTCCCTTCTACTACCTGCCCATCCTTGGGCACAGCCTGTTTACAAATTACACTTTCTGGGTAGAACTTGATGCTTTCTAAAGTGGTACTACTTTCCTAAATGATCTTTCTGGCTTCCTAAATGATCTTATGGTTATGGTTATAACCATAACCAGGAGACACTGATTCAAGCCACTACTCCCCTTTAATAGATGGGTAAGATGAGGCAGAGAAGGTGAGTGTGTTTTGCCCTGTGGTCCAGTGTGTAGAATCATAGCCTGCTCAGATTTTACTTGTCTTTATCCTTCTTACTTCCATAACCTCACACACCTTAAGATGAAGGTCTCACCCTTTGAAGCACCCCATTTTTTTCAGTTCTTTCAGCTGACTTCGTGTCTGCACAATTGGCTGGGCAATGATACCCATCCTTTCAGAGTACACAATCTGGTTGGACTCATAAGCAAATCATATTGATATATAGTAATTTTTGAAGTCACAGAGGTGTGTGAGAAGTCCAGGGGTGTGGAGGTGGCATCTGAGTAGGGTGTCCATGGAAGAAGGTGGTGTGATGCTCAGAATTCCCACAGCCCAGGCGCTTACTCTGACCTAGCACTGATCAGAAAATGTGGCAGATGGTGGTTTACCTGTCGTCTCCTAAATAAGCAGTGAATCCTTTGAGAACACTCATATCTGCATCCTTAGAGCTTAGCCTAAATACTACACATAAAACTGGCTCCATGGATGGTTATTAAATTGAGGAACGGAGCAGAAGACCAGTCTCTGACTTTGGCTCTTTCTCTGCTGCTGGGTGATCTCCAACTAGATGGCTTCATTTTAGCTTTTGAAATTTCCCAGACTGCATCCTGTTCACTTTGTCTCCCATCCACTCCAAAGAATGGAGCCCCTCACTCTTTTATCTAGCATATGAGACTGACTTGACCTGTGTCCCCTGGCTAGAAACAGAAGGGACATCAATCCTTACTCAATTAACACTGCACTGCAGACCAAGGAGCTGTTCCAATGTCAACTCATGTCACCTGCACAGGAGCCCTGGGAGGGGGTCAAGTTGTCCCTCTACTTTAGACTTGAAGGCAGCTGTAATAGCAGCTGTAAGAAGCTCAAATGCAAAGCCTAGCTGGCATGTACCCAAGCCTTCACCACGTCACTTACCTGTCGCTGCTGTCTGGATCTCAGGTGTCTTAACCCTGGAACTGGGCATTTTTTGTAAAATGGTTATGTTTATTTATCATTAAAGTCCAACAGAGCCTAATGTTTAACTTTCAGAATAAGATCTGAAACTCTTCCTTTAAATGACTCCAACAGAAATATCCTGACCCTTTTGCTTGCTTGTGTAGATTTTCTGAAAGCTTTCAAGAAATCTGGATTGTGTTTGGAGCCCAAGGTTTTCCACAATAACACAATTTAAAAAAAAAATAATGAAATGAATCCTAGTAGTTTCAGAGATGACTAGCAAGGGCCCCCTATTCTTTCCCCTATTCCCTAAGTTTTCTACCCCCTCATGTACCTGTGTATCTCTTGTTTTCAGAGCTGAGTACAAGGAGTATTATGAATCCAGAGACCTGAAAGCCTTCTCCGCAGAACCCTTGCTTATCTACCCCACACACTACACAGGCCAGCCGGGGTATCTGAGTGACACAGAGACCTCGACCATCTGGGACAACGAGACCGTGGCCACCGACTGGGACAGGACACATTCCTGGAAGTCCCGGAAGCAGGGTCATATCCACAGCAATGCCAAAAACACAGAGGCTCTGCCATCACCAACTTCTGTGGACAATGTGCCTTCGAGGGACGAGCTATGAAATCTCCCAGGGAGTGTGACACCCGTGGGTCCATCACTGTTTGGTTTTTCTAAAGTGCTATCCAACTTTTTTTATTTTTATTTTTTTTAGTGATCACAGTTCATCTAAACCAAAGTCATCCCTGTAATTGATCAAAATGAATTTATTTCTGAAAGTGGAGAGGAATAAGGAAATTAACCCCAAATTCCCTAGGATGGCTACAAGATAGGTTTTATGGGAACTGCCAAGCTACACTTCAGTTCAGGTGCCCAATTCTGCTCAGTAGTCATACGATACTGCTGCCCACGACAGGGGTGGCTCAGATGGGATCACCAAGTTGTCACATCATTAAATGGGCAGTCAAAACAGCCAAACCAGCTAGACCTCATTCATGGTCTGGACTGTCCATTTTATGTAATAGATGTGACCTTGAAAACTCCAAGTCAACTAAACTACATTTATTAGTGTAAGTTCATCAAGAAATATGACTTTGAAAATTTGTGTACGTAATAAGTTTTTTTTTCCTTTGAGTGAGGAAATCAAACCATTTAAAATCATATTAATCTGGCTTTTATTTAAAGAAATGCTGTCATGAGCTTTATTACAAAGTGAATTTTTAACATTCTCATCCTCATTATGCAGTAGCGATGGGTGATTGGGTCTGTCTGGGACATGGTCCTTGACCATCAATGGCGACTGGAATTCCCAGTTTGCCATGTGGATATAACTTGGTAGACATTTGAGGAAGGTAAACCTCAACCTTTGGCCTTAGCTGTTGCGGCCACTTAGGTCAAGAAGCTATATTTATAAAGATAAATGTAATATATGTGGGGGGAACTGGGGTGTTCCTGCCCTGTCCCGGGTTTCCCGTGTGGCTGTAGCTAGCACCTTACACCCTGAGCTCCACCCCTTAGCTTGGGAACGAGCTGCAGGTGGTGAGTTTCATGAATCACTGTTGAGAGACAGAGCACATTTTCAGGCCAGCAATTGTCCTTGCCTGGATTTTTCATTATGTTTTGAATTATTTATTTTACAAAATGTGGGGAAAACATTGTAGGATGAGGCAGAGAAACAGATGTTTCGAGCTTTCATTGCGCCCCTGGGAGTGGCCAGCGTAGACACATTGGCTCAACCATCTGAGTCTCCTGAGCAGCCTGTCTCTTGCCGGGAGGCCTGATGCCGGGGTATTCTAACCATTGAGAAGCAAATTATTCTCCACATTCGGAGAGAGACGTTGATTAGAAATGATGAACTGGACAGCAGATTTAGGCCAACGGCCAGCGAAGCTCTCAGAGCCAAAATTCCAGGTAGACAACCTTTCTCAAAAGATGTCCCTGAAACTCCATTCTGCTGCCTCCATAACTGATGGCATGTGACATTCAGAGTTGGACTCACGACCGTCCAGCTGTACCGTCTGTCATCCTAGGACACCTAGGACATCCTCCACCATCACCTTCCCTCCTGCCTTACTCTTGATATTCTTCTCCACTGAATAAGAAGCCACGGGGCTGAGAAGAGGAGTCTGGTCCCCACTCCAGTCTCTCCTGCTCGGACAGCTGTCAGGGCTTGGCTCTTCTTTTCTAGAAAAGTAGGAAGAGCATCCGGGGGGCTAGTGACAAATCCTTAGGCGATTCCTAAGGCTTCCATGGGTCTTTGGTGTTTTGTTTGCATAGACGAGTGTGTGCGAGTGTGTCTGGCTTTAATGATTTTCTCTTCTGGGGTGGGCGGCTGGGGCATTGGGAGTGGGAGAAGATTGAGTTCAGTGTTGTTCTGTTTAATAGGGAACATTTCCCCCCATCAGCTGGTCTGATGGGCTTAAGAATTCTCATTTGTCAAAGATGTTGGATTTAAATTTTAGAATTTTTGTCTAAGACTGTTGTACTGTGAATAAAGTTCTGGCCCGGTAAGCCCAGTCTTTGCTTCTCTCTGCTCAGGTCTGAATCCCAAGCAACCTTCTTTTCTTGTCCACATTGTAAACTGCAGATCTAGCATTTCTGGGGAAAATCCTCTCTTCAGCAATCCAGAGGTGCTTTGACCTCAGTGTGTGTCCTCCCTCCTTTCTAGTCACAAACCAAGGCATTTGCTGTTGGCTTTCACGTGAGACCTCAATACAGAGGCCTTTGCTTCTGCCCCTGGCACCTGCTCTCTCCCTCTGGAGTTTAGATCAACCCTGTCTGGGTTCCTCTTGGATCCAAGGTGGGGTCTTCTGGATGGACAAGTCCCACCTGAGCAGTGTTGCTGCTGCTGTCTGTGGTCTGAGCACCTGCACTTGGCAGAGGACCCACACATGGCCTTGCATTGGGGCCACTTGGGTCTGCTTTAGAAATCCTAAAGAAGGAGCTGACATCCCAGCACCCTGCTTTTGTCTGTCTTGCTGTGCTATTTCAGGGTGGGGGAGTGATGAACTATTTGCCTTCTGGAACTCTTGGTGAAAAATTAAAACCAAAAAACTTAGCTTAAAGTTATAATGGTTCATGGGTTCCTCAAACACTGGTCATGGGCCAACACTGCTGGGAGCACTGGGTCTGCACTGGACCATGGACAACGGAGGCCAGAGACCATCGCTGCTGTGTGATCCCCATGGCAACTGAGAAAGGGTGGCTACTGCCCTCCTGTGAAGGGGGTGTGGTCGTGGGCTGGTGGGTTCTGGTGTGCACACTGAAGAGAATTCCAGGGAACAGAGAAACAGAAGCCCCCTGTGGAGGGTGTTGAGGGAAGTGCCCTTCATGTATCTGTGTCCTAATAGGCAGTCTATCCAATCACAGAAAGCTACTGAGATGCTTGTACAGGCCAAGGAACTTTTTCCTAAGACACAAAAACAAAAACAAACAAAAAAGGAGCTCCATGTTAGCTTGAGTTCTGTGTTGTTTTAATAGGGAACATTTCCCCACTGTCAGTTGGTCTGATGGGTGAGTCCTTGGAGTTCAAATCCAGCTTCCTACAGTTTCAAAAACCATGTGTGAGCCTTGTCTTTTTTCAGGACTGTGCTGGGCACTGTGACCCTGAGGGGAACCTGGTTCTGCTGAGAAGTTCAGCCAGGGCTGCTCTGCTAGGGGGTGAGATTTGCACTGGGTTTGAAGAACAAATGGAAGTTCAGAAGAGGAAGGAGGACTGGGCCTGGGGACAGGGTGGGTGTGGTCATGGGGTGGGCCTGAGGATAGAGTGGGTGTGGGGATGGGGTGGGCCTGAAGATAGAGTGGGTGTCGTCATGGGGTGGGCGTGGGGATGGGGATGGGTGTGGTCATGGGGTGGGCGTGGGGATGGGGATGGGTGTGGTCATGGGGTGGGCCTGAGGATAAAGTGGGTGTGGGGATGGGGTGCTTTCTAGGCACAGCAAAGGCAAGACTGTGAAAAGAACCCTCTGGGGTGACGGGAGACTCAAAAGGACAGAGGACTTAGGGATGTGTGGGGATTCGAGACAGATGGGAGCAAGGGTGAGGTCAGGTGGCTCCCTCCCCTTGTGGGCTCTTTGATCCTAATTACAGAAGCTGTTGTTTCTTGGGAATTCTAGGTTTGGTTACTTTCCTGACAAAAAAATGCAGAATTTTCTAGGAAACTGTTGGTACCTAAAATAAGAAATGTTCTCATTTGAATGCAAACTAGGGAGTCTCATGGTTTTTCATGTATGGTTGGAAGGAGTCCCTCCAACCAGTTCTGGTAACATGAAGGTGGCTTCCTTCCCGTGGTGACAGAGTCAGATAATCGGGAGTAGGCGGCCTTAGAAATCATCAGCATGCCCAGATTATGATGTCTGGTGGTGTTTATTAACTAAACAAGAACCTGCTGCCCCCAGACATGTTTCTGATCAGTGTGGTGGGGTGGGGGTGGGAGGAGAGGGGCGCGAGGGCCCCCTGCAAGCCGCTGCTGTGGGGCAGCTGGGGCGAGCAGGAGAAGTCGGCCTGGGCTTTTTGTTGCCCACTTGGAGAAGGGAAGAGGCTGGTTGAGTACTGTATGTTACAGAAGATTACCTTGAAAATGGCATCTCATAGGACAAGCACAGAACAAGAGGAATTTGGATGACATTCTTAGGATTTAGACATTGAATGGGATTCAGGGCAAGGGGTGGATGGACAGCTTGTTAAAATTTGTTGTGGGCCAGGAGAATGGCCACCTGTGCCCTTGGCATTTGCTTCTTTTCCTTTTTGCTTTCTCTCAAGGAGGCGTTGAAGTTTGAGATGGTCTTTGCTTGAGTTGTTCCTGCCCCACCAGCTGCGCTGCTTCCCAGCCCCAAGCCATCCTCTCATCTACCCCGTAGAGGGGTGGAGAGATAAAGAGCCGTCTCTGTGGATCGGATTCTCTTTATTTTTCATTTGCTGGTTTTGGGTTTTATTTTTGTGGTGCGAGGCAAACACTCTACCAACTGAGCTATATCCCCAGCCTTTCCTGAGTTTATTTTTATGGCCCTTCCGGTAGTTTCTTCTGCTTGCTTCCTTGGTGATGGGCATTTTAATAAAATTCCACATCTGAGCAGCCCCGGCCTGTGGAGCACCTGCTTTGGAGCCCTCATGGATCCAGGGGCTCCTCTGGGCCTTCCCTGTTCTGGGGACAGCCAGATTCTTGCTCTTGGGAGAACTTGATTTTCAGGGTAGAGTGGGCAGCCCTCCCTCGGTTTTGTAGACAAACTTCGAATCTAAGAGTCAGTGACAACATGTCCCTTCCCAAGAGGGACTTAAAAATTTGAAGGAGACCCCCAGACGGGGGCTGAGTGGCCCCAGCGATGATGGCGTGAGCTGAAGGGTTTTAAGAGCTGCTGTGAAACACCAGCATGCACTGTGGGGACGGGGGACAGCAGAGGAACCCGCCCAGAGCTGAGAGCAAGGGGACAGGGTGGCAGGAGGAGGAAGAGGCAGCTTCCAGAGCAGCACATACACAGTAAAGTTCCGCTGCCCAGAGCGCAGTCCAGGAGACAAGTTCAAGGACAGGGGGTGAGAGAGAAATTCAGGCCAGTCGCTGGAGGCCTTGATCTGGCCCACAGGCCAAAAAAGAAGAACGAAAGGGGAAAGGAGTGATAGGAGGGGACTAAAAGGAAGTGGTGACAGCCTAGTCCTTAAAGTGACTACTTTATCCCTTTAAACTCGTAACAGTGAGAAAGACTGAACCATTCACAAAGGCATGCGGTGTCCAGTGCCCCATGCCCATGGCCGCTCCTCTCCACAGTTTAGTCTGAGCCACCTTGGATGGGGGCTTTGGAGCCCAGAGCTCCTTCCTGCAGGAAAGTTGAGGGGGGCTGGACTGAGAGAAGACAGACCCAGGAGTGCCCCTTCTGTTGAGAGAAACATCCCCCACTGACTGCAAAGAGCATCCCTCAAGGTGGGTTCCTGATAAGAGTCCCCACTGGCTCTGAGCCCGACACGTACCTCTGGTTCCCAGAGGCACCCGCTCAGGGCCTCCTCCCATCAACCTCCCGCTCTGTACCCACTCTGTGAAGCCTCTGGACCCACACGCCTCTCTCTCAATCCTCTCTCTCAAGCCTCTCTGGCAGGAGCCCTGGACATTGTCCAATTCTATGAGTCAGTCTTTCCCCAAAGCAGCAGCAGGCTGAGAGTTTCCCAGGGTGCTGTTCCACACTGAAGCCCCTCTCCAAGACTTTCCTGTCACATCTGGACGGGCCTGGCTGCTCATCCAGGCAGGGGGCCCAGGGCTTGAGGACACAGCTTCTGGGAAGCCAGCACATTCACGGGAACAACAGCATCTAACTCTTGCATCATGAGCCAAAGTGAAAACTGCTTTGTCTTTGGGCACTGCCATTTAATACTATATGAGCCTCAGGGTAGAAGCTATTATTGATAGCTTTCAGATAAGGAAATGGCTAATGTAACTTGCCTAAGGTGGTCAGTGGCCCACTATCTGAATCTCTAGGCAGTCAGATCCCACCACGCCACAGTGCAGCCACCTCAAAGTTTCTAGTGGATAGTCAGTTTTGTTTTTTAACAGCTAATGTTTCAATCACAATCCCCCCCACCCTTCTTTCTCTACACGCACGCGGGCGTACACACACACACACACACACACACACACACACACACACAGAGCCTGATACATAGAGGAGCTGGTAGCTCCACCTCTATGTGCTTCCCACCTATGACATACCATACATTTCTTATTCAGCAGATCATATTCCACATTCTCAATTGACATTTTGGGGAGGTTTAGCTGCTGGTTATTGCATACTCAAGGATCCAAAAGAGATGTCCGTGAAAAGCTCGCATCTCATTTGGAATGTTTCTCCCATTTCAAAATGGGCTCCTTGATTTTTTCTTTTTTCTTCTTTATTTTTAACAGCAGGAGCAAATCAGAAACAGTTTGAGTATCACTCACTGTTCATTGTCCTGTTTCTTTTAACTTTGAGGTACTCACACCCCTTTCATTCTGGACCTAGATAGCACATGGAGCTTGGGTGTAAACAGTGAGGGGATGAAATGGGTCCTGGGAAGTCCTTCTGGGGTCCCCAGTTGACAGCAACTGGGTGGGTGTCCTAGAGCTGGCTCTCCTGGCAAACTCTTCATTCAGCTGATGATTTTTCCCAGCTCACCACCTGTCCCAACCGCCATGAGACAGCAGAGTCCATGGCTCAGAAATGGTTTCAGATGCTAGCTGGGGAGGTAACTCAGTAATCCTAACCTTAATGGATTTCTCAACTATGCCATGGATAGTGCTTAGGAAAGCAGGCAGCAGTGCTCTGGCTCACAGCGAGTGTTCTCTAGAGACTTTAAGAACCATAAAAATGCCCATCTAACTAAGGTCAGCTGTATGAGCTCACATGACTGGAAGGCTGGGGATGGGGTCCAGGGATCCTGGCATTCCCCCCAGCTCCGTTAGGCCATGGGGGAGCATAGGTCAGAAAGCCTGTTTCACTCAGTGCCAGCCCAGTGTGACAAGCTCAGAGTGGGTTTTGACAGTGCAGAGATCCTG